CTCTTCCTCTCTAAAATCAATAAGCAAGCCCTGGCTGGTGTGGCTTAATGGATTGAGCCCCAGACTGCAAAGCAAAGGATCGCCAGTTCAGTTCCCAGTCAGGGCACGTGCCTGGGTTGCAGGCCAGGTCCCCATTAAGGGAGCACATGAGAGGCAACCACATGTTTATGTTTCTCTCCCTCTCTTTCTCCCTCCCTTCCCCTCTCTCCAAAAATAAATAAATAAAATATTTTAAAAAACCAAATCAATAAGCATATCCTCAGGTGAGGATAAAAAATACAGACTAAGAACCAAGAGGTTTCACGATCTTCCTCTGCCATGCTGGTGCCCAGACGTCTGCGGTCATGAGTCCCCTCTGGCCCCTCCCGTTCCCCCTCCCTCTGACGTAAAAGAAGCCGGAACTCTGTACATTCTCAAGGTGGATTTGGGCCACAATGGGTCTCCCGTCTTCTTGGTTGGCACCTTCTCAATCGATAAACCTTTCTGTACTGCAAACTCTGACATTTTGAGTTTTGGCCTTTCGAAGTGTCAGGCACACGGACTTTAGCCTGGTAACTGTCTGAGCATGTAAGCTTAGTGGGATGCCATCAGTAAATAACTGGCATTTTCCTGCTACTGGGATTCTGTCTGCCCTCCCTTCTTACTCCTCAGGGACTGTGCTGTCCCTACCAGCGAGTGGGTATTGAGCACTGAAAATGTCCCAGTTGGGATGTGCTGTCGTGTAAAATATGCTAGATTTTGAAGGTTTAGTGTGAATAAAAAAGTAAAATACCTCATTGACACTGTTATATATTGATTACATCTTGATATGATAATGTGGATATATATGAGGTGGAATTAAATGCTAATACTTTATTAACCCTGTTTCTTTTTGTTAATTGGGACAAAATTCACAAAACATAAAGCTCGCCATTTTGACCATTTTACATTCAGCGGGTTTTGGTATACTCACAACCATCGCCACTATCTAACTCCCACACGTTTTCATCACCTCTGCAGAAAACGTGTACTCACTGAGCGGCCACCCCCATTTCCCGTCCCCTTCGGCCCCCGGCAACCGCTCACTTGCTTTGTCTCTGTGGACCTGCCAGTTCTGGGCATGCCGCAGCAACAGAGTCGGACCTTGTGGTTCCTTTTGTGTCTGGCCCCTGGCACGGGGCAGTGTGTTTCCAGGATCCATCGTGCTGCAGCCTGCGTCGGTGCTGCGTTCCTTGTTATGGCTGCGTCGTGCTCTGCTGTGCAGAGACACCACTTTTTGTCTGTCCGTTCAGCACTCGATGGAGATCTGAGTTGTTTCCACCTTTTGGCTGTTAGGGTCAATTTTGCCGGGAATGTCTGTGGACGGGTTTTTGTGTGGACGTCTGTTTTCAGTTCTTTTGGGTCCACGCCCAGGAGGGGAGTCACTGGGTCCTGTGATCGTTCTGTTTAGCCTCTTGAGGAACCACCAACCCGTTTTCCACAGCGGCCGCACCACTTGCAATTCTCATCGTCCGTGTGTATTCTTTTGTATTCTTTCACGTGCTTGTTGATACTTAACTTTCCTCCCCCCACCCCTTAACTTGTAGCCATCCTAGTGTTTGTGAAGTGATATCTTCTCATTTTGATTTGCTTTCTCTAATGACGGAGGCTGAGCATCTTTTAGGTGCTCCTCTGCCACGTGTGCACCTTCTTGGAAGAAGTGTCTGTTGAAATCCTTGGCCCAGCCTGTGCCTTGTTACTTAGTTTAATGTCGCTGCTAGAGAATTTGAAATTCCCACGTGTGGCTACACACTGCTGTTGGATGGCTCTGCCCTGGGAGATTCTGAAATTGCCGAGGGCTAAGAAGATGACGCTAATGAATACTTCATATTTTCCCTCATTCTTAGTGTCAGCCCCAGTGGTTTGAGTTTTTCATTTTCAAGTTCATCTCCCTGAGGCACTAACAGGACTGTCATTACAAAGACATTATCCAGGCACCTGAGTGAGTGCCAGTGGGTTGATGGGGTGAGGTGGTTTGAAGGTCCTCTTCAGTAAGGCTTACGTTAGGGTGGACCTCACCTTCGAGGCATGCTGATTATTTTATTAAGCCAACCGAGTATAGCAGTAAAAGTCACCTTTTTTCATAATGCAGTCAGCATCACACTTCAGTGAGCTTTTCAAAAGTTAGTATTTTTAAGCTCAAGTCATTTACATCTTACTGAACTCACAGAACATAATTTATTGTAGATTTACTGCTTTGGAAATGTGCTGTGAAATGTTGAGCTTCCTTTTCTAGGAGTCTAATGCAGAAATAATTTGATCAACTCTACTTGTTTCCCAGAATAGAATGGTTATGATGAGTTTGTACATGGAAGATTCATCTTGAGGTCTCTCAAGTTTAGTTTCCAGTTGCATCCCGGTGGCCCTCGCGTGCCTCCTTGTCTGCTGCTGGGCGTTCCCAGGGGGCAGTCCACACATGCCAGGAACTGCAGCGCACCCACAGCAGATGGAAAACACCGGGTTGTTTAAAAGTAGACTGTCTCATTCATTTAAAATAGTTTCATTTAATGCGGTGGTTCTTTTCTTTGTGTTGAACTCCCCAAAAACCAATAAGCATTTTTATTGTTTTCCTGAAAATAATTCAACGAGATCTACAATAAATAGTAAAACTGCGTACAAAAGCTTGATGGCATTTTATGATCCTTTTCTCATTCACTGAAGTGGTGGAGACTGTATTTTTCCATGCATAAGTAGGTGGAGGAAGGTAACCAAAGTATATTTTCTTTGGGAGAATAAAGCCACATGGGAGATGGCAGTATCTTCAGGTGTTTCAGAGTGCAGCCAGTTCTGAATCTTCCTAAACACCCAGAGAGCTGCAGACTCCAATATGGGTGGGTTGGGGGCCAAGGAGAACGAGTGGAGAAGGGTCAAAAGTCAAACTGTCATAATTTAGACATGATTTACCCAGGGGATAACAGTTTTTGAAATATAATCAGTGTGTATCATTTAAGTGTTTCCTTTTTCTGTTTGTTTCAGCTCTGGTGTTCAGAGGGAGGGAGGTTTTGATACCTAGGCGAGGTGAATTTTAAGGGCACAGTTCATTAGTGCTAAATATATTCATGCTGTTGTGTAAAAGATCTCGAGACATTTTTTATCTTGAAACACTGAGACTATGCCCATTCTACCTGAATCCTCCTCCCCCTCCCTTTCTGCTCTCCACCTTTCTGCTTTCTGCTTCTGTGATTTTGACGGCTTCAGCTCCTTCACTGAGTGGAATCCTACAGTATGTATCCTTTTGTGCCCGGACTTTTGTGTCCTCAAGGTTCATGTGTGTTGTAGCCACAAGAAGGACACAAGGTTCATGTGTCCTTTTTAAAGGCTGCATGATATTCCATGGTGTGCACACCCTCTGTTTCCATAGAGGGTCACAGGGCTGCTCCCAGCTCTGGGCCCTTGTGCATAGTGCTGCTGGAAAACACGGGCATGCGGGTATCTCCTCACGGTCTCGCTGTGAGTTCTTTCAGCTGCACACCCAGGAGTGAGAAAGCTGGATCACATGGTCACCTTTTGTTGCTTTAATTGAACACGTGCAGGCCTTTTCCTGGAGCAGCAGGAGCTGCACGCCGTGTACACCTGGGGCCATGCTGTGCGAACCGTTGCGGCACTGCAGGATCTCTTCTCGCTGCTGCTCCTCTCGATGGGCGGGGCAGGGGGAATATAGACTATCTATAAACACACCTCTTGATAGTCTCTCCGTGAGAGATCAGCCACACAGGGTATCATCACTGTAATCCTTTCCTGTTGTACCAGGAAGTGTTCTGTGCTCAGATCTCCCAAAATAAATGCCAGAGTAGTCTGGTTAGATTTCATTTACCGGAGCACACACCTTATTCATAAACACCTTTCTCCAAAAAACTGTTTAGGCCAAAGAAAGAGTGAGGGCTGGGCAGAGAGGGCCAGGAGGACCCCCGAGGCACAGAAGGGGGAGGTGGTGTGGTTGCCATCACCACCATTAACCAGGAAAGAGATGGAAATGTGTCCACAGGTCGTGGGCAGCATATGCAGTCTGCGGCATTTTACCATCTCTTTTGGGTATGACGCAGTAAGGAACTTCCCTGTAGTGGCCCTGTGCACAGTGTGTGTTCACAAAACAACACTCACCAGTGTGATGCGCTCTGATGTTTCATATTCTAGTCCCCCTTATCCGGTGTGCTGCTCTTGGCCCTGGATGGGTGCGGTCCACTAGATTGGTGTCCTCCATGGGGCTTAGATCCAGTTTGCCAAGTAGTGACAGAGAGCTCGCTCCCTGGAGCCGGCTCAGGTCTGGCTTTGCCTGTTTGCTGTTGAGAGAGGCACGTGACCTTGAGCTCCCTAAGCAGCCTGTGCCTCAGTTTCCTGCCCCCTCAGATGAGTGCTGTGCAGGCCCTCCTCAAAGAGCTGGTTTGCCACCCTCAGCAGAGCACCTTCTGTGGAGTGGGTCCTCCTTGGTGTGTGCAGGCTGCTGGTCATGCTCACCTGCACACTCACTTTTCTTTTCACCTTTTTTACATTGTTATCCTGAGTCCTGTGTTGCCTTTTCCCTCCTCTGTCATCAGCACCCCCAACTTGGTGAAACTAACTGGGTGTGAACCCTCCACTCCAGAGCTTGGAGACTCTGTGGACAGAAGGAAGAGGCCAGAGATTAAAAGGACTCAGGACGGTGTGCTGGTGGCGTGGTCACCAAGGCCCCTTCTCTTTGCTCTGTTAGCCAGCCTGGAATTCAGAGTTTGACTTGTGATTAAGGATGTGACTGTACCCAGGTCCCCTCCCCCAGAGAAAGGTCAGAGTTGCGGCTTCAGCCTGGCAGGACTGGGCCTTGCGCAGAGGAGGAGCCTGTCCTGGAGCCAGACCCAGCCTGGGGCCCTGGGCCTGCCTTCCGACCTCTGCGGGTAGGGGAGGGGCTGCTTCTTCCCTCTCCCTCAGCTCCCCCAGGTACTTCTTACCAGGGCTCCTCTGAGTCATTAGATTCTGGGTGTTTCATTCTGTGTTTATCTTCTTTGCAGGCGATTTTGGTGAATAATATCACTACAGGCGAGAGGCTCATCAGAACCCTGCAAGGTGAGCTCCCCTCCCCTTCTCCACACCAGACACCAGGCCTTTAAGGAAAGGGGGGGACCCCCTTTCCTCTTGTCCTCCCCTGGAGTTTCTTATTCTGATCTAACGCTGGGTGTGATTACAAGTGATGAAGTAGTCTTCAATTCATTCTTCTTGCCTAACTATATTTCCTTAAAGAGCTTTTTCTTTAAAAATGTTAGTGAATACATTGCAGGCTGTTCTGTACAGAAGAATTTTTTGATCTGTTGAAAAAAAAATACATATGTACCCACACACATATCTGTGGTATGTTTGTGACCGGTTGTGTGTGTGTGTGTAGATGGTATAGATATAGGGTGGGGCAAAAGTCAGTTTACAGTTTTAAGTATGGAAAATAACACAATAGTTAATAAATAATAATACAAGAACAAACTGTGTTCTGCCTACTCACAGCTGTAAACCTACTTTTGCCCCAGCCTGTAGTTTGATTGGGCAGTGCTGGTCTGGAATTCTATGAATATTAACGGGGAGATGCAGGGTCACACGTAGTTAAGGGGGTTACTTGGTTGCGGGGTCTTCTCAGAGCTGAGGTTCCTGGTCAGACCTCAAGGAGGGAAGACAGTCTGCCGCCTCTCCCATACAGTCACGTGCTGCTCAACGACCAGTACGGTTTGGGAAATGTGTCGTCAGGCGATTTCGTCGTTGTGCGAACAGCACATGGAGGGCACTTGCCCAGACCCGGGTGGCGTGGCCTGCTGCACTCTGAGGCTGTGTGGTGTACCGCGGTCATGTGTGTGGGCCCATCACTGACCAAAAAAAATGTCGTTCGGCAGAGCACGACTGTGCTCGGCGTTTTCAGACAGCTGCCATCAGGTCCAGCGGACACACAGTGAAGGACACACATTTAAAGTGCACGGCGGGACAGGTTTCGATGGAAGCGTGCACGTCAAGAATCCACCGCCAAAATCAGCACGGCAAACACATCCGTCAGCCCCAGAAGTTCCTTCATGCCCCGTGGCCCTCCTCCCCAGGGAGCCTCTGACCTGCGGCTTTAGATTAGTCTGCGTGGTTTAGTTTTATGCGCATGGAATGAGACAGTGTGTGTCCTTTCTTGTCTGGCGTCTTCCACTCAACACGCTCTGAAACCCGTGCGTGCCCATGTGGGTGGCAGTGCAGGCCTCCTCATGCGGGGGAGTGTTCGCCTGCCCCTGCTCCGTTTGCCTGTGGAGGTTTTTTTTTAAGGTTAAGTCTATTGAACTATATAATTTACACACAATAAAGTCTGCCCTTGGTGGTGTGCCTTCCTCTACGTTCTGACAAATGCAGAGTCCCCTAGACCACCACAGTCCCAGCCAAGACAGCCCGTGCCCCACTCCAGGAAGTCCCCCCCCAGCCTCTTGTGGTCAGGGGCAGCCCCCACTGCAGCCTCAGGCACCCACTGAGTTTGCTACCCCACCCCACCCCACCCCTGTTTTGTCTTTTTGAGATCATTATGCAGCTTTGGACATGGATCTGTGTTTTCACCGGCTCCTTCACTTCATTTATGCCCCTCCCGGAGAGCCCTGCAGGTCTAGAGTTGCTCGGACAAGTCTTGGGGAACTCGGGGCTGCCCAGGGCTGTGCTCCGGGCCCTGGTTGCACCGCCCACCTGCTCTGGTGTCACCTCTGTGGCAGCTTGTCCTTCCACCACCCCCAGCCTGACTGTTCGCCAGCTGCTGCTTTCTTCAGTAGAGCTTTTACAAGATTTCTTCCCATGTTTCTGTAGCACCCCATCCTTTCCCCTTTGCAGTTCTTATCAGACTTGTAAATATCTATTTAATGTCTTTGTTTCCTACTATGTTGCTTTTATGAGCCAAGTTGTCCGGGCAGCAGGGACAGGGCTGAATTTCCTCAAAGAAAGCTGCAGTTTCCCAGATAAGAGGGTTAGGTGATTAAATGACCCAGGGCCTCTGAGAGTGGCTTGGCTGTGAATAAATGATGGGAAGGGTGCCGGCGGGCAGCCTGGCAGCCACGGGTGGGGTTTTGTGGCGGGGGGTGGGGAGACTGCCTCTCTGACCAGGTGTCGAAATCAGTGGGGTACACGGTAGAGCTTGTGGGACAGCTCAGGGTTTATGATGTCTAAAACAGAAACAGGCATTTTAAGGGTTGGAGGCCAAAAAGGAGATTTAAGAGCAGAGACATTTGGAAGAGAAGCAAGGTGCAGGCTCCCGAGGGATCGTAGGCCTCACAGGGGCACTGTCGTGGCTGGGGTGCGTGAGTGCTAGGGTGGTGGGGGGGTTCTCATCCCTTCCTTTTTCCCTCCTCATCCTCTGGTGTGCCGCTGCCCCTTGTGTTCTGGTTGTGGGTTTTGCTGTGTCTGCTGTTGTCCTGAGGGCCATCCTGGTGACCTGTGTGATTTCCTGTCTTCGTCTTGGCTTAGACCAGTTAAAGGCGCTGCAGAAGAATTACGGCAAGCTGCAGCAGGACGTCCTCCAGTTTCAGAAGAACCAGACCCACCTGGAGAGGAAGTTCTCCTATGACCTGTAAGTGTGCGCGGCATCCAGCGCTGGCCCTCGGGGGCTGCTGGGTTTCAGGCTGAGGCCCGCAGACGGGCTGTGCGGGAAAGGCCCAGCCCCTTCGAGGGGTCAGATCCTTCTGAAACAGTGCCTCTTACATCTTCTGTGTCAGCAGTGCTTCAGAAAGCCATGGGAGTGTTTGCCAGTGGGCTCATTGTACAGGACCAGTAAGAGGGCAGTTCTCCTCAGCAGGAAAAGACTTACTCAGCACGCTTTTAAAGTAGCTTAAAACCCTATAGAGCACAGGTGAGGTGGGTAAGTCAGTAAATCTTTAGATTTACTTTAAAAATGTGTCCCAGAAGTGCTCAGGTGTGACCTGAGTCCAACTCCTGGCCTGAGGTGTGTTGGCCTAGATCAGTGTGATATATCGCTTTTGGTTTTCTTGAGACTGTGGAGTCTCTTTCCAGACTTCTGCAGTGAGAATGGAGTATGTTTAATTTTCCAGCTTTATTGAGGCATGATCGACAGATGTGTATATTTAGGGTATAAAACGTGATATTTTGATATACATTATGAAATGCTGCTCCCGCTCAAGCTAACTAACCATCCATAATCTCACACACATACCTTTTTCTGTGTGTATGGTGAGAGCACTTCAGTTACTCTCTTACAAATCCCAAGTACACAGTACATTGTTATTAACTGTCGTCACCGTGCTGTGCGTTAGACTCGGCTCGTAGCTGCGACATCCTTTTAAGCTGATGGCAACCTCAGGCACATACAAAACGCTACAACTTTATTTACTGGAGTGCTTTTATGATCTAGACAAAACACACTTCTGAAAGGTTAGCTAAACCCATAAGTAAGATAGTAAAAAAACAATTTTGAGGGTAGAGAATGAAGTTGTCGTTGGTGTATTTTTTCCCCTTTTTTTCCTCATAAAAACAATATAACCAAAGCCCAGGAAGTTGAGGATTCAGAGACCCCGCACCCATCACCCCAGCCCTCTTTTCTCTTTGACTTACTCCTCTCTAGTTTGGGCCCAAGTTCATACATTTTTTCCATAATTGCACTCACCATTTAAATGTTTAAATCATGTTTTACTTAGCTTGCATTATGTATATGTAAGAATTTATATTCTATAATGTTTTATCATTAAAAATGGCTGGTTAGTATTCCATGCTGTGGAGGTATCAAATTCAGTTCTCCATTTCCCTGTTGGATATTTAGTTGACTTCTAAGTTTTGGTTATTGTAACTGGCCTGCCTTTAATGCCTAATAACTTTTAAAAAGTTATTATCTTGAATTATTTCCTTCTAAAAAAGACTCAAATCTGGGTTTAGTGTGTGATTTGGTATAAATTGCCAAATTGGCTCCTGAGAAGATTCTGGCCGTCTGTGTGGTGACCAGCCATGTCCCACCCTTTGTAGGTATGCTGATGTCCTGATCCCTTTAGAACCTAACACAGCTCAAACCAGGAACTGCCAAATAGGTGAATACACAAAGGACATGCACAGTCAATGCAAAGGAATATACTAAGCACATGCGCATATGGAACCTCATTCAGCTAGGCCAGTGGTTCTGAGTGGCTGGCATTTCGCCCAAGAAAACTCCTGGCAGACAGTTGTGTTTGCCACAGCTCGGAAGAGGGGGCCCTAGCATCTAGTGGGTAGAGAACGGGGATGCTGCTAAGCATCCTGCAAGCACAGGGCTCCTCCCCCAACAGAGTTTTATCTGCTCCACGATCCCAGTCATGCCGAGTTGAGAATCCCTGAGCTAGGCTGGCAATCCACGAAAACTTTCAGACAAAAATCAAGTGCCCCAGTCTTACTATTCATCCTTGATGCACATACTTCCCTTCCACTGACTGGATTGCAGTAAGCCATTAAGTAATGGCCTCACCTAATATATTTGACCCAGCAGATTGTAGCTGGAAGTCAGCCACGGCCCCGTGACTGGGAGGGCAGCTCCACTGCCCAGGCAGGAGTGTTGAGACGAGCCGTGAGCAGAGTGTTCTAACCTGGGCCGGCTCTGGGCGCAGGAAGCACCATTTTTCTCTCAGGTGTTGGATAGGTTGAAAACTCTGGTTGAGCACATCTGGTTGTGTCCACAGCCCTGAACCAGAATCAAGACGCTTCCCAGGGGTGAGGTTCACGGAGTGTTGAAAGCTGGAAAGAGTTAGTTGTTCCTAACTTTCTTTGGATTATAGACCCTTGGTGAGGATCTGATAAAAGGTAGGACCACCTTGTTCGCAGATTTATAAATGGATGTGTACATGAAGTTGTGCATCAGGGTCCCACAAATCGAACGCACGACTTTGTGTATGTGTCCATTTATAAATCTGCCCGTCCTTCATAAAACACCCTCTCTGGTCTAAACATTTTCTAAAAGGCAATGCTGAGAATGAAGAAGCTGGTGGAAAGGCCAGGTCTCCTGACGAACAAGCTGGTGTTCTGACTTCGGATGTGAGAGTCCGCACACTTTTCCTACTTCTTACTCCCACCCCGTGGCAGACGTCAATCACTAAGTGATTACTCGATCCAGACAGCCTTGCATTCTCTCCCTGAGGCACCTGGAGGTGGTATGTGAGGTGAACGGCCTGCCATCTCATGTCTGTGCCATGAGGAGGTAGAGTTGGTGGGATGCAACCAGCAGTACTCTGGCAGTAGCCTCCCAGATAATCGGGTCAGCCACCTTCGTAGACTCCTGCACTGAGCATGTTCTGTTCATAGTCTTCTGACTGTGCCTTGCACCAGTTAGCATAGCCTTTGGTTGCCAAGTCTTGTATGTGTCTACATTTCAGCTCCAGTTAACACCTGAACATTTACCACGTACCTGTAAGAAGCAGCCAGCCTGAAGCCTCCAGGAAGTAACACTGTCACGGTCTGCGTGCGTGACCTGTGTCTCAGACTTTGAGCTCCGTTCTGAGGTTGTTCCCTTATTGCTGTTGAGCTGAAATGTGGAAAGCTGATCTTAATCTGCAAGGCTGGGGGCGAGAGGCTCTTTGTACTAGATTCTGGCAGGGCTGAGAGCAGGTGAAAACAGTGCTTCCCTTTTGCAGGTTTCATGGTCCGAGAGCAGCCCTGCACCTGCTCCTTTGCTGACCCTGAGCAAATTGTCTGTGAAAATGTCTGTGAAATTGTTGGGTGACAACGAATTAGACACGCCTAGTTCTCTCAGTGTGCAGATGTCTCTCTTCTTGTTCGCCACGCTGGAGGTACTGGGCACTCCCTACTCTACCACCTGGGGCTGGCCTGTGTGTGAGGATTTTATTTAAATGAATTTTCCCCCAAGTCTTCTTTTGATCTACAAGCTGTGCAAGGTCAGGAACTCCAGCTTTCATTATTTCTGAAGTACCTGGTGCCCCCTCCATGTGTGTCACGTTGAGACCCAGTAAGTCCTTTGAACTGTCAGGTACGTTCCAGGAGTTAGCGGTTGAGGGTGCTGGCACTTGGCCCTGAAAGGCGTGTGACCCAGAAGGGGTGGCGAGTGGTAGAGAGAAACAAGTCTGGCTTCTGGTTTCAGCCTTCTTCACCCTCCCCCCACCCCCACCCCACCCTGGTCACCTCTTAGCTTCCTTATTTGTACACGTGGGCAGTTAATTACTGTATGGCTGGTGCTGGAGGTAACTCTTAAAATGAGTTCCAGGCAGGAAGCTGAGGTGACACCTCCAAGTGTTGGGCGGCCGGTGCTGCGGGCTCTCAGGCTGGGCTGGGGCACGGGTGCCGCCACCCACAGTTCCCTCACCCCAGCCGGGCGTCTTCCTCCCATTCCGTTCAGTCTCATTCTATGTTTCAAAATAAAGTTGGGTTTTTGAATGTTAGGCTTACTGCTAAGGTAGCACAGGGAGTCTCTGTGTATCCCACGGCCCATGGCCCCTATTGCTGACACTTTGCATTAGTGTGGTGTATTTGTCACAGTTAATTCACCGACGTAGACACGTTGTCCTCAGCTGAAATCCGAGCCGTATTCAGATCTCCTCAGTGTTCCCCTGATGTCCCTCCCCGCCCCGGGTCCCTCCTAGGGCCCCACGTTACATGCATTTGTCAGGCCTCCTTCGGCTCCTCTCGGCTCTGACCGTTTCTCAGACTTTTCTTGTTTTTTCTGTTGTTGTTTTTTGTTTAATGATCCTGATAGTTTTGAGGAGCACTGGTCAGGTATTTTCTAGAATGTCCTTCAGTTGAGGTCTCTCTGATGTTTTTCCTATGGACACACTGGGGCAGCGCCTTCCTGTGGGGGGAAGGCCACAGGGGTGCAGTGCCCCTCTGGCCGGTTCGCACCCCGGGGACACACTGGCAGTGCGACTTAGCACTGTGGGTGTGAATCTCGATCCCTGGACTGAGGGGTGTTTGTCAGGTTCCTTCGTTCTCAGGTTACCCTGTGTTTTCTCCCTCTGTGCTGTGATCTTTGGAAGAAAGTTGCTGTGCATAGGCTACACTTAAAGACTGAGGTGTTATGTTCCAGAAGAGAGAGAGATAGAGACAGACAGTGGGGGCGGGGGGGGGGGAGATGCGGGGGGGGGGAGGAGGGAGAGAGAGAGAGAGAGAGGGGACACAAACCTGGGGAGACAGGGCAGGTAGTGTGCTGTCTGGTAGGGGGGATGGGTGAGTGAGTAGCAGTAGTGTCTTGGGGGAGGGTGTGAAAGTGATTAGTTGGGTGGGCCCTGCTGGTAAGTCTCCTCCTTCCCAGATTCTGATGACACGGATCTTAGGTCTTTAGTTAGAGTCCCACTGGTCCCTGAAGCTGTGTTTTTGGTTTGTTGTATTAATTCCCCCAGCCAGTTTTTATCTCTGTGCTCAGGTGGGGTAGCATCTGTTGTTCTAGCTTCCGGTTCACTGATTGTTTTCTTCGCTGAGTTTTTAAATTTTGGTTTTTGCCTTTTTAAGTTCTAAAGTTTCCATTTGATTCCTCTTTAAGTCTTTTGTTTCTTTCCTAAGACTCTGTTTTTTGTTTTTTGTTTTTTGTTTTCTGAGACTGTTTATCTTTCACTTGCTTCAGTCATGCTTTAAATGCTCATTGAAATATTTTTCTGGTACCTGCCTTAACCTCTCTATCAGATCATTTTGCCATGTGGCCGCTGGTGTCTCTTGATGGCCTCTTCCCAGTCAGTGTGAGAGCTTCCTGGTTCTCGACAGGACAGGGATCTTTGCCAGAAGCCCTGACTCCCCGTTGCTGTCCTCAGGGAGAAGGGGAAATGCTGGCTCCCCGTGTGCTCTGCACACACAACCTCTCCACACAGCACTGTGGCGTCCTTCAGCTCCGAGGTCCCTGGCGGGTTCGCCTTCTTCTCTCCACTGTTCAGAATCTTCTGTGTATTTTAACTATAATGACTGGAGTTTTTAGTTGTGCTTGGTGGGAGGAATAGGGGAAAACATCTCTGTTCCATCTTCCTGGAAGAAGAAATTGACTCAGTTTTCACACTGCTCAGAGTCTGCACAGACCTCACAGATTAAGGCGCTCAGTCCTGTATGACCGCCCCCACTGGCTACCTCTGCACAAGGGCTCCCCACAACCCCTCAAGTTCACTAAATCTCTCCACCAGTTTACAGAACTCAGGAAAGTTCTATCCTTACAATTTCAGTTTTATTATAAAGAATACAACCCAGGAATAGCGACATAAAATGGTAGAGACTTGTAGGGCAGGGCCTGGAGTGAGAGGGGGCAGGCAGGAGCTTCTGTTGGAGTTGGGGTGCCACCTCCGTGTTCACCAACCAGGAAGTTTGCGCAGTGACATGGTCCAGAGTTTTATCTGCGGTTTTATTACAGCGACGCGATTGTTTTAAGCCTTTGAACACGGGTTGCATTCAATCTCCAGTCCCTCCCCTCTCCCTGGAGGACGAGGGTCCTCTAAAAATGTGATTGGTTCCACTGGCCACCAGTCTCATCCTACAGCTTTGTAGGCTTAGTGAGTCATCTCATTAGCATAAACTCAGGTGGGGTCTTCAGGGGCTAATCAGGAATAACAGAAGCCACTCCCATTACTCAGGAAATTCCAAGGGTATTAGGAGCTCTGTGCCAATACCTGGAAACAAAGACTGAATTTTTTTTTAATTATGTCACAGATTACATTTTTAAAAATGTTTTCTTTCTAACCAGTAAAGTTTACCTGTTTTAGAACAAGGTAATGTATTCTTAGTAAGTTTCACTCAACTACAGTTTCTTGTCCTTTACTAGTCAAAAACACAAGTTGCCCCACCTTCCATAGTGGCCTTTAGATAAACCAACTGCCCGGCAGGAGAAGGATGAGCTGTGCCCCTCGTGGAAGTGGGTTTCCCAGTCACGGCAGGGACACACGGTGTGCAGGCACACCCGTAGATATCTGTCCTTTCCTTCTTTCACCAAAGGAGCCAGTGCATCAATCAGATGAAAGAGCTGAAGGAGCAGTGTGAGGAGCAGATAGAAGAAGTCACCAAAAAGGGGAACGAAGCTGTGGCTTCCAGAGACCCGAATGGAAAAAGGGAAGACAGCCAGCAGGTAATTCTGGGTTTTTCTGCCAAGGAGTTCCAGAAGGCATCGGCTGTCCTGTTTGCTCTGTCCTGTGCTCTCGCTAGCGGGTTTGTGTCCCTGAGGCACACAGGCTGGTCCCGGGGTGCCGGGACGCAAAGGGGTGGGCTGCCTCTGGTCCCAGGCCCCATGCGTGCGTGCTCCGGGCTGTGCGCTGTGCCAGGGTGACTGCACTGAGGGCTCACAGCCACCCAGGGAGAGAGTCGCTGTTGTTTTCCCCGTGCTGAGGGTGCTGGGGCCCATGGAGATGGTTAAATGCTACAGCCAGGGTCACACCTCCTGGCCGGCAGGGGGTGCCCGTCAGAGCCCGTGCCTCAGGCTGTGTCCTGTGTGATGCACAGTCCAGGAGATTGCTTCTGGAGATCTTCATTTTTGTTTTAAGATATAGCAGCTTTATTGAGATATATTTATATAGCATATAATTCACCCATGTGCTATATGTACATTTCATTTATTGTTTTTTTAGTATATTCACAAACTTGCGAAACCATGATCACTATCAATTTTAGACTTTCACTATCCCCAAAGACACCCTGTACTTGTCAGCTCACCTCTCACGTGCCCCAGAGCCCCCGAGCCCTAGGCAGCCTGCTCGTCGCTGTAGAGTTGCTTACTCTGGACATTTCATATCGGTGACATCACACAATACACGACCTTTTGTGTCTGACGTCTTTCGCTTAGCATAATACATTCAGGGGTCATCTGGGTGGTAGCTTTATTTTTTATGGTTGAATAATATTCCACCATATGGCTATCATTTTCTGTATTCGTCTGTCAGTTGATAGTTACTTGGGTTATTTCCAGTTTCTGACTGTCGTGAATAGTGTTGCTATGAACATCCAGGTACACATTTTTATGTGGCCCTGTTTTCATCTCTCTCAGGTATATATGCCCAGGAGTGGAATTGCTGGGTCATGATAACTGTTTCCGGTATCGAGAAACTGCCAGACTGTTTTTGGGATGTGGTCACCCCATTTTACACTCTTGCCGGCAGTTTATGAGGGTCCCAGCTTCTCCGTGTCCTTGTCAGCTCTTGTGCTCACCATCTTCTACATTATAGCTGTCCTAGGCGGTGTGGAGTGGCACCTCGCTGTGGTCTGGGTTTGCGTTTTACTGATGACAAATGAGACTGAGCATCCTTCTCATGTGCGTATTGGCCCTTTGTGTACCTTCTTCAGAGGAATGTCTGTTCAGAGCCTTTGTCCATTTTGAAACAGTTGTTTTTTATTGAGTTGTAAGAGTTCTTTATATAGACATATATAGATAAAGCTATTGGATATATGATTTGCAAATATTTTTTCCCATTCTGTGAGTTGTTGTTTCACTTCCTTGTTGGTGTTCATTGAAGCAAAAATTTTTAGTTTTGATGAAGTCATGTTTATTTCTTGTGTGGCTTATTCTTTGATGTCTTACTGAAAAATACTTTGCCAAATCCAAGGTCATGAAGATTTATTTACTCCTGTATTTTCTTCTGAGAGTTTTATAGTTCTTCACGCTTAGTTCTTACATTTACTCCTACAATCCATGTTGAGTGCATTTAATATTTTTACATGCTGCGAGGGCAGGGTCCCACTTCATTCTTTTGCATTGCACGTCCAGTTGTCGCAGCGTCGTTTGTTGGGGAAAAACCCTCCTTTTCTACACGGATTGTCTCGGCACCCCGTCGAAAATCAGTTTGCTGTGAACAGGAGGGTGTATTTCTGGATGCTCACTTTTGTCCTGTTGTCTCTCCTCATCTCAGTACCTCACAGTCTTAATTCCTACAGCTTTATCATGAGCTCTGAAATCAGGAAGAGCAAGTCCTCCAACTTCCTTCTTTTTCAAGATTGTTTTGGCTATTCTGCATCCATTGACTTTCAATATGCATTTTAGTATCACTGTCAATTTTAAGAGATTACTTTGAAACTGTAGATCAGTTGGGAGGGTATTGCCATTTTAGCAATGTTAAGTCTTCTGATGTATGAATGTGGGATGTCTTTCTAATCATCTAAGTCCTTTAAAAATCTCAGTGTTTTACATTTTTTAGAAGTCTCACAGTTCTTTCGTTCAATTTATTTCTAAATATTTTATGCTATTATAAATAGAATTGTTTTTAAATTTCATTTTCAAATTATCTATTCCTAGTATATAGAAATGCAATTTATTTTTACATTGATCTTGTATCTTGCAAACTTGCTGAACTTGTTTATTCTAATGTATGTGTGTGTGATTCCTTAGGATTTTCTTTATAGACAAGATTATATCATATAAAAATAGAGGTAGAGGCACTTTTACATCTTTCTTTCCAATCTGTATGCCTTTTCTCTTTCGTGCCTAATTGTCCCGGCTGGACCCTCCAGTACAATGTCAAGTAGAAGCGGGGAGAGCAGTCCTCCTTCCTTGTCCTGCTCTTGATCATAGACGGAAGAAGCATTGTCTTCTACCATTAACTTTGATGTTAGCCGTATGTTTTTCATAGATACACTTCATCAAGTTAAGGAAATTCCCCTCTGAATTTGTTGGTTTGTTTGTGTTTTTGTTGTTAAGAGGTGTTGAATTTTGTCAAACACCTTTCTGTATTTACTGAGATGATCTTGTGTTTTTTGTCCTCGATCCTTATTGATATGGTATTACATTAATTAATTTTTAGATGTTAAACTAACCTTGTTTTCCTGAGATAAATCCCAGTCAGTGTATAATTCTTTTTGGTGTTGTTGGATTTGATTTGCTAATATTTTGTTGATGATTTTCGTGTCTATATAAAGGATATTGGTCTATCATTGTTGTTTTTTTTTGTAGTGCTTTTGTTTGGCTTTGGTATCAGGACAATACTGGGCTCATAAAATGATTTGGGGTATACTCCTCCTTCTTATGTTTTTTGGAAGAGTTTGTGAAGATTTAGGATTGATTCTTCTTTAAATGTTTGGTAGAATTCATAGTGAAGCTATTTAGGCCTGGGCTTTTTTTTTTGAGGGGGCAGAGGATATTTTTTAATTTAGTAACTCAATCTCATTATAAGTCTACTTGGATTTTCTGTTTCTTGAGTCAGTTTTGGTAGTTTGTGTCTTTCTAGAAATGTGTCTACTTCACCCAAGTTATCAGTCTTGTTGACAAACAGTTGTTCTTAGTATTCCCTTAAAAATAATACTTTTTTATTTATGTATGGTTAGTAGTGTTACCCCATTTCATTTTTTATTTTTAGCAATTTGAGTCTATTCTCTCTTTTTTTTTTTCCAAAGATTTTATTTATTTATTTTTAGAGAGAGGGAGAATGGACGGAGAGAGGGAAAGAAACACCAATGTGTGGCTGCCTCTTGAGCACCCTCTACTGGGGACTTGGCCTATAACCCAGGCATGTGTGCCAACCGGGGATCGAACCTGCAGCCCTTTGGTTCACAAGCTGGTGCTCAATCCACTGAGCCACACCAGCCAGGGCTGAGTCTATTCTCTTTTCTTTCCCAGTTAATCTGGCTAGAGATTTGTCAATTTTATTCATGTTTTCAAAGCACTAACTTGGTTTTATTGATTTTCTCTATTGTTTTTTTATTCCTTATTTTATTAATACCCTTTCTAATCTTTACGATGTCCTTCCTTGAGTTAGGATTAATTTGCTCTTGTTTTGCCAGTATCTTAAGGTGAGAGATCACATTATTAATTTGAAATCTTTCTTTTTTCTTAATGGAAACCTGTACAGTTTTCTCTGAGCACTGCTTTAGCGGCCTCCCTTGAGTTTGGTATGTTGTTTTTTTGTTCCAGTTTTTCTCAGGTACTTTCTGATTGGCCTGCTGATTTTTTCTGACCAATTGGTTATTTAGGAACGTGTTGCCTAATTTCCACATATTTGCGAATTCTTCAGATTTCATTCTGCTATGATGAATCACTTTATTCCACTGTACTGGACAACATTTTACACGATTTCAGTCATTTAAAGTCTGTTGAGGCGTTTTGTGGCCTAGCCCCTGTCCGCTGTGGAAAACGCTCCGTGTGCACTGCAGGAGAACGCGCATTTCGCCGCTGTTGGGTGGAGTGTTCCTGCGACGTTTGTTCTGTCTGGGAGGTCTCGACTCGCCCTCAGATCTTCTGACTCCTGTCAGGGAGGGGCACAGTCGGGGTAGACGCTGGCGTTTCTCAGGGTATCGGTGTCCTTATTTGTCAGAAGGACGTGGTGGTCTGTTGTATCGCTCGGGGTCATTATAAGGCTTCCGGTCACGGAGCCCCTGCCCTGGCCGCCCTGTGCTCCTGTTGCAGCCCCACGCATCCAGTGAGCCTCAGCCCCGGTTGCAGGAAGCAGGCCTGTCTCAGGCAGAGGGGCCACAAGGGAAAGGAAACACGCCCAGTAGCAGCAAGCCCCAGACACCACCCCCCAGTTCAGAGGCGGCTTTGGATGTGAGGAGAAAGGGTGAGAAAGGTAAGTGAGGCTTGGTCATCACATGTTTGAACCCTCCTCGGAGCCCCATTCGAATAAAGAAACATAGTGGCCGTTTAAACCCTCCACTGCAAACACAAACCCACACTCCGAGGCGGAGAGACTGCTGCTGGAGTCAGGCAGTGTGCTCGCGACGGGGCTGTGGTGGCCGGTGTGTCTCTGGGCACTTGGAACTGGCTCTCTCTCTGTCCTGCTGGTCTCGTCCTGTCAAGTGCGCACCTTGCTCTGTGGTAGCTGGGTGAAGAAGGATCTAGGCTGTGCCTTTATTCAGGACGGTGGGGGGACCGTGGGATCAAGGGGAGGTGGCTGAGTCCTGCACACCTGTCAGCAGCTCCCAAGCACTTGTCTTGAACATACGACGATCAGGTGACCTCAGCAGTACACCTTCCTCCACTTGTAGGTTGTCACTGGAGTCACGATAACTTGGTCTAGATTTTTTTTTTCTTAAACCACTTTTTGCTTCCTCATGGCTCTGAAGATGAGCCAGGGGCATAGAGAGGACTGGAGTCTTCTGCTGAGGTCATTAAATAAAGGGCCCAGCCGTCCCAGCCGTCCACAGCCCACCTGGCCACAGTCCTTGGGAGGGCTCTGGGATGTGGGTGGCGTGAGAGTTTTTGCTGACATGAAGTGAAGTGCCAGTGAGGTCACAGCTAACAATGTTCTGTGTAGAGGAGACCAATGACATTGAGGTCCGCAGTGAGGAGGAGCTGCGGAGGGACAGCCTGGGGCTGCCCCGGGAGCCACACCAAGAGCAGGCCGTGGAAGAAGACAGACATGCAGAAGGAGGAGCCGTGGGACACGCTGGAGACCTTGGCCCAACCCCGCAGGTGCCAGCCACCCTGCTGTTGAGCCAGGAAAACCAGGAGGCGGAGGAGCCTGAGCGGGACCAGCTCGTCATCCGGGACGGGCAGGAGGAGGAGCAGGGAGCTGGCGAAGAAGGTGGGTGAGAGGCACCACCCACTGACTGCTTTCCCAGACTTCTTACTGACATGGGAAGGGTTTCCAGGAAATTTATTCTGTTTATTCGGTCACCGTGATCACGTAGGAGGCAGGAGGGAAGAGTAGTGTGCTTTCTGGCACTTAGGAGTTTTCAGAAATAATATTCACAGGGAGTGAGGGGGCATTTCAGGTGAAGACCTCAATGGGTGCTTAGTATTGATAAAAGGAGGGAGGGGGGAGGCATGGAGGAAGTTAGGTAGGAAGTCATTTGCAGAAAAGGGACATGTGAATCCCACCTTTCTGGCTTGGTTGACTTTTCTCTTTTTTAAAGTGTGGGAAACAGATCAACAATATTCTGGGATGTATTTCAGTTTCTTAAAGATGTGAAAAATTTCAATCCCAGCGGAGCCAGGAACACTTAAGTAGAAGACACCTGTGTTCTGGGAATGGTCAAGTAGCAGAAGTGGGAGAATGTGCCTGTTTGCAGACATTATCCTGATTCCATTTAAATCTAATTTTCCCTCAAGTTTCTCTTTCTGAAGAATGCTTCCTCAGTTCAAGAATTGAGCCCTGGCCATTGTGGCTCAGTTGGTTGGAGTGTCATCCCGCAACTGGAAGGTTGCAGGTTCAACTCCCGGTCAGGGCACATACCTAGGCTGCAGGTTGATCCTGGGCACGGGCATGTGTGATCCCCAGTCCTGACTTGTATGATCCCCGGTCTGGGCATGCACAAGAGGCAACCAGTTGATGTTTCTTTCTCTCCTTTCCTCTCTCTATAAAAAGCAATGAAAATAAAATGTCCTCAGGTGATGATAAAAAAAATTATTAAAAAAGATATTAAAAAAACCCCTCAGGTGGCTGATTCGGTAGCAGACTGCTGTCATACCACTCAGCAGCTGGTCACACAGTGCACCAGCCAGCAGGGCTGCGATGCCGCAGGGTGTGAGGCTGCACTGTGTTCTGGGCACAGTTGCGGTGATCTGCTTTGCAGAATAAAGCTGCAGGACACACAGGCCTAGCTTTGTTTCCGCTTCAGGCAGTAAGTGCAGAGAAATATAACTAGAGCTGACTTTTCCAGCGTGCTTTAAAAAAAAAGATTTTCTTTATATTATGTACAAATATAACATGTTTACATCCAACCCTATGACTCTGTCTGTTGAATGTATTTTGTCCTTTTCTGGTTGCCGGTCTCTCTGGGGATGATCACAGTGACGGGTGACCTGACTCCATGCATATGATGGAAAATCGTGTCCTTTGGCTCACAGCAGCCGCTCCGTTTCCTTCTTTTGGAGCAGTGAGCTGTGCTAAGGAGATACCGTTATTAACTAGAAACCTGTTGTTTCCAAAAACAGTGCTGTCTTCTTCTAACCTCAAGTTGTGTCTTTAAAAAAACTGGGATTTGGGTTCAGCTAGCTAGTTATCCCGTTTTCTATGGACTCCAAGTTGAAGTGGACACACATAAGCAGAGAACTACACGCGCTCTGTACTAGCAGCCAACACACGAGTCCTGCCAGTTCCTGAGATGCAGCAGAAAGATCTGAGTGCAGCCACGACTGGGGTAACCCTGGTGTCTGGGCTCTGGTGTTTCTGTGGCGTCAAGAGAGAAATGATGTAGTTCATGTTTTGTGTGTCTGCCCTGACTTTACAGGGAGAAACCGGCCAAAAATGGGAGGAGACGATGACTACAACATGGACGAAAATGAGGCCGAATCGGAGACAGACAAGCAGGCGGCCCTTGCAGGGAATGACAGAAACGTAAATGGTAATAACTGTGGCGGTGGGGGTGGGGTCACCTCCTCCTCGGTGCAGTTGTGGTGATTAACTTTGTGGCCCTCCACTTTTGGAGTGACTCTATAAGGAATCCCAACAGTAATGTGGTAAGTGATCATCATGTGAAGGCTTTCTTTTCTTCAGAAGCCTTTGACTCCAGGACAGCGGAGAGGGTCAGTTGGAGGATTTGCCTTTAGTGACATTTAGGGATTTTCCAACAAAATGGCCAGGTCACCATGTGATCACTATGTAGTACCAATCAAAAAGTCAATAAATATGCACGGAGCTCCAGGCAGCTTTTTGTATTAACACTTTGTATGACTATGATTTTGTATTTTGGAAGAGTCCAGGCCAGTGGATGTATCCGACTCTGGATTTGTCTCTTTTGTTGTGACTGGATTCAGGACGGACATTTTTGCAGCTGCAGCGTGTCCCTCTTGCTTCACGCCAGGAGGCGGGCGACGGCAGTTGATGGCTTGGCTAGGGGCTGCCCACCAGGTCTCCCCCTTGCACGGGTCCACTTTCCCATGTAATACATCATCTAGGGTGGGATGCACTTTCTCTGTTTTTATTGAGATTAATTGATATACAGCTCTGGGTAACTTTAGGATATATAGGGTAATGATTTGACACATCGTGAAATGATCACCACAGTAAGTTTAGTTACCACCCATCATCTCACAGGGATACAAGTCTGTTTCCTTGTGGTGAGAACATTAGGGTCCACTCTAACTTCCATGTGTGTCGTAAGGCATGTTCATGACTTCGTCACCCTGCAAACCACACCCCCTATGGGGGACTTTTCCATGGCACAGCTTTGCCATCCACTGAAAACCCTTGCCTGATTCCGTCACCTTCACGTATATTAGCTGCCATTCTCTAAGGACCCCCGCCCTCAGCACACACTTACACACTCACACATACCGGTTTGTTTTAGTATTGCTGTGAACTTAGGGTTTCCTTTAACATTTTTATTTTTTCTGTCAGATTCTTGGTTTTAATTTTGTTTTTGAGTGCTGTATGTGCTAGAGAGATTGTTCCTTATCTGTGATGTTAAGATGCAAATTTCTCCTCCTAGTTTGTCTTGATTTTGCCTATGGTGTATTTTGTCACACACAGATTTCAAAAATTTTTGTCCTCATTTGTGTAGTGCCTGAGCTCTTGAATAGCATATTTTCCGATGTGGTCACTGTCTCAGAGCTGGCTGCCACTTTTACATGAGCCCAGTGTCGTCCTACACGTTTGGCTTTGCAGTGACGGCTTGTGCTTTCATCTCCTACAGCCTGGTCGTCCGAAGGATTTGGCTTTGTGCAAGGCTTTAAAAAAAGTGAGGGAGGAAGCAAGGCAGGACGAATGCTCTGTCAGCTCCTTTAAGAGACTTTCAAATTGAAGAAATGTCATCAACATCATTTTAAGATTACCATTGGAATAGTTTAAGGCCCGGTTTGCACTGGGGACAGGAGAGGCATTAGCTCCAACTTTATGAGAGAGTAATTTAAAGCAGTCACTTAATTAATAACATCACTAGAAATGTAATGTGTAGTAATTGTAAATATTATGTTGGCTTTAGGTCTTCTTTGTGACATGACATTTCTGTTGTCTGTGTGTCCAAGGATGGAGTAAGGGTGGGGGAAGCCACAGTCACCTTCAGCTCTGTGAAGGGAGAGCTTTGGGAAACGGGAGCTGCCCGGAGCTGCCCACGCCTCGTAGGGGGCAGTGTGCTTCCTGGTGGAGGGGCCCGAACAGGGGGAGGTACAGCGTGTGAGGGCTGTGATAGCATCAACAACTTTGAGAGTAATGTTGTTATCCATTTTATGGGACGTGGGGTATTATTTCACGATTTGAAACAATATGGCATTTTCAGATGTTTTGGCTTTGTTTCATGGCACCTTGCTGGCCATACACGTGGTCTTGTTTGTGATCCTGTCCTTGGTAGGAATGGGATTCCCCATTGTAATGTGGTCATGAGAGATGGTCTCCTTTATGACGGTTCCTACGTACTTAGGTCAAATGGGACCTGCCTGGACTGGTTTCTCAAAATGTTTAATTAGAATATTACTTTTTTTTTTCCTTTTTAGTTCTTAATGCTGAAAGTCAGAAAGGAGACAGTAAATTTACTTGATCAGCATGAAAAGAGGAATCACGTACTCTGAACCAAACTGGAATCACATACTTCGTGTCAGGATTGAACAGCGATAACCACAGAATCTTCACGAGGGACTGAATACTGTGAAATGTACTAAGTAAAATATACATCTGAAGATGATTATTATGGGATTTTAGCATGTACTTTATGTAGGAAAGTGAGATTGTTTTTTAGATGTTTTTTGGGGGGTTACTTTTGAAGCATCCCTATTAAAGATGTTAAAATGTGTTGGCTGATAGGTATTTCATGAGAAGATCAACGCCAAAAATAGAACACAAGTTCTCCAAGTACATGGACAGTGCTTCTAGAATTTAACTGTGTTTAAAATAAAGGCAAGCCTGTAGGAAGAGTCCACCTTCTGGTGCAAAGGAGTGATCTGCTGCACTTAGAAACTCCTTTTTCTCAGTTCCTTCCGAGTCCTTCTCTTCTCCAAATGCCAGGGTGAGTGACGGCACCAGCCTGTCACTTGTTCTCCCCTGTCAGCACTGGGTTCCTGGTTTGTGGTCTCTCCTGTCCATTTCTGGTTCCTGTACTCAGTGGCCTGGAGCACTGACTGGTAACAGGAACACCACCTACGGTAGTTTAAATACCCAGGTGTTTTGTGGGAGAATTTTTGAAGACTACTTGTATAATAGCCCTCGTATTAATGTTAAGTGGGTCGTAATTTGAAAACTCGTGATCTATACTTAACTAATATGTGTAGGCAAAGCAAAATCTTCTGTAATTCAGTCCATAGTACCACAAAAGGCCAAGTGGATTAGACTTTGGACACAGCGGGGGCCAGAGCAAAGGTGCCCCCAGTGCCCGCTGCAGAGCGGTGAGGCAGCCCGGCACTGCAGGGCGGGTTTGTTGTGGACAGACTGCCAACTCCGCTGGAGGGAAGGAGGAGCAAGTTGATGTTGAAGGGTATGTACTAGTTTAGAAAGGCAAGACAAATGTCAATAGTGTTTTTGTCATAGTTTATACAGTTAGCTTTTACCTATGAAAACGGACTTAAAAATCAAAAGTTAATACTTGAAAATGACTAATAATTTACATCGATAATAGTGATATTAGATTTGGCTTGTATTGGTCCTTATGTTTCAGGTAAATAGGTTTTTGCCTCTTGTGAATGGCGGGCAAAGCCGCACTAACGACTTTCATTGGGCCCTCTGAACAAAGGGTAAGTGGGCGGTGGTGCTTACTGCAATGTATTTGGGATTGCAGGAGTCAAGATACAGTCTCTGCAGGTCATGTGGCAGGACTCCCATGTTTTCAGAGAGGAAAGGGCCCGAGAAGTCAGGAGCACAACCGGCCGCACGCCTGTGTGGATGTGCTGTGCCCCCGACAGTCCCTGAAGGCAGGCCGTGCTTTGCGTTCAGGTTAAGATCTCTACCTTGAATGTTCTTCATGTGTAATATCCTTTTACCACCTCACTAAGATTAAACCTTTTCACCCAGAAAAGGCCACTGAAGAAGTGTAAAAGTAGCTTTGTAAGATTTTATCTAAGTCCTTGCCCGACACCCCTCTCAGCCTTGGGGATGATACGCTCTCTTGCTTTCTCAAATAAAGCTGCTGTTCATCTCATGTTTAATCAGTGTGCAGAGTTGCGGAGAAATGAAATTCTGTTAGTTCAGCTTTTAAAACTGTTTTCAGTTTTCCCTTCATCCTGTTTGATCCCTAAGGAAGCAGCTTTTAAATTGTGGAGATGGAACTTCAATATAAATAACCCCTGACGACTTCATCTGCGTTCCCAGAGGTGCGTCCAAGGGCCGCTCCTGCGGCAGGTGTGTACTGGGAGGCCCCCCCCCCCCCCGCCATGCTCCTGCTTTGTTGCCACTGGCTCCTCTGGAATCGCAGACACCTGTTCTGAGGCAACAATTTAGAAGTATCACAGCTGTTTAAAAAACAAAAATCTGTGCAGTAAGCATCAAGTAGATATTTTACCCCTGACCTTGGTCTCTTTGGTGTTACCCAAAATTAAATCAGCAGCTATTTCAATTTTAACAGGCAAACTCTTTAATTCCCACTGTCCTCTCTCAGATGGTGTTTGCACAGGAGCGAAGAGTCATTTTATCTTTTCTCCTGCAGGTGAGACTGCAGGTGGAGACTCCCTAAGCAACCTTGGATTAGATTTCCTGAGTAATCTAATCACAGCACATACTTAATGTATGTACTTTCGTGTGATGAAGTTTGAGAAATAAACTATTATGTTGATGTTAAATAACTAGACTGATAACTAGCATGACTGTTTTAATTGGCTGAGAGCTGGTTATCCATTCACAGCAGAACCTGGAATGATGAAGAGAATTCAGCATCCTTTATGGTCCAGTGGGAATTAGTCCAATAATCTTTCAGGCAAAAATATAATTGGAGTAATAGAACAATGAAAAAAGATTATTTATAAATGATATTTTATAGGACACTGAACAACTTCTAACATGTCTTTGAAACTAATTTTAGCAAAAATACAAATTTAAAACAGAGGTTCCATTAACTGGGTTATATTAATTCCCCCTGCCCCCTCATGTCAGCTTAGACCCTGCAAATGTTCATTAGTGTCAGAAAGTTGGGGAAAGTTTATTTTCATTTTGTGTTTAAATGTTTGTGTATTTGTAGGCTATTTCTTAGCTCAGAGAGCAACACTTTTTTTAAAGTGTACTAAGCCACTGTTCTTTAAATCTGGTTTGTAAAATTCTGGTTATGTATACGCTGAATGGTGTGTATCTCTGGGCAAGTTAAATGACTGAATAGTCTCATCTTCGAATTATACAGACCTTCAGATAATGAGTTTTATAACCCAGACCCTAACCAGTTGAGACAAGTGCTTGTTCTTTATTCTTACTCCTTGGAATAAAGTGCTACCTTGTCCTGAGTTGAGTGATACAATAAGTTCTGCTTCTACAATTTAGATGCTTACAGAGATTCCAGTTCTTCGATGGGTGCTTGGTAAATACTTGACTCTTGAGCCAAATAAATGATTGTGATTGATTAGAGATGTCCTAGATAACCTAATTTTCCATGTAACTGAGGTTTGCCTTTAGGAACCTTCATAAACAGATTTAGACGAACAAATGCCTTTTGAATGAATGTTAAACACACAGACATACAGATGAAAACCCACTTAGAGGTAAGAGGTAAGCCAGAGTCTTTGTGAAAGAGTTCCTTGCTTTTTACTAATGTGTCTCTCTGAAAGCTGTTGTGAAATGACAGTAATGGAATGTCCATTAAGGGGTGATGGACTGTATCTGCCTTTATCTTATGTTCATATTTAAGCAGTCACCTTTTAACTCTCCAAAAAAGCTGCCACATTATTAACATTTACGATCTGAGTATCATTTAAGAGTAGTTTTGTGACCTCAACCAGCAGCCTACAACTGCCAGTCCCCCCTCCCTGCCACAAAGGACAATCTTGTTCTAGTTTTATGAGATGGGCTCTTCCAAAAATTATTCTAGAAGTCTACAGGTGACATATCTGTGATCAAAACAAAGTACCACGCCTTCCTTTAAGCATGGCTTAATGTTTGAATTATAGACAGAAAGTTACAGATACTGTATATCTATATTTTTGCAGGAGTTTAGAAGTTCAGAGTTGTTAAATAACTTTACATGACCTTCCAAAAGCTGATATACCTCCTTTAAAAAAAAATTTAATCCTGACCTATGTTTGATTTTACAGAGGAAGGGAGACAGAAACATTGATTAGTTGCCTCCCATATGCACCCCAACCAGGGATTGAACCCACAACCTTTTGGTTCATGGGATGATTTTCCAACTAACCAAGCCACCCAGCCTGAGCTACATCCTTTTTAAATGTAAGGAATGGAAGGCATTATTAGCAGAGGACTAGAAAATCTTACAGTGTAAATGAATGCCTAGGTGAACTGGTTGAGTGTCTCAGCCAGGTCATTTCAAGTCTTCAAAAGCAAAATTTTAAAATACCTCTGGCAGCTTGTAGGATGACAAAAATAGTCATCTCAAGTTTTATTTTATGACTCCTTATGGCAAAAGCAACTGGTTCTGGTTTCCCTACTCTCCTTAAGATTTGGAGGTATTTGATATAGCAACTTCTGCTTGGATTGCTTTGCAAATATCAAATCAACCAATTTCATCACCTGAAGCAAACTGTTTAAGGCAAGGCACCAGACTCCAACGTGCTGCCTCCAAATTCCTCTGCTCTTCTAGCAGCCCTGGGTTCTCACCGTCAGGTGTTGCTCCTGCTGAAAAAAGTAGTCAACCCACTTCCCTAGAGCCGTGGTTTTTTGTTTGTTACCTTCTCTATTCAGTTTGCCCCAGGATAGCTCAATGCCATCAGGATGTGCATTACATATTTAAAAAATTCACATTCCATTAATTGCACGAGCAATTTCTAGATCGATGAAGTTCCTTTCTCAAGCTTACACACTTGGAAGATAGCACTAGTTGTAATTTGGTTACTTTTTTTCTAAGTACTTTTCAGGGGCTTGGTCAAAATTTTAAATCTTTTAAAAGTACCCAAGTAAATGTTAAAGATGTATTTAAAAAGCATCTACATTCTTACAGGTATATAATTTAAGATATCATGACACATAAAATCACAATCCTCATGTAATTTAGCCTTCCTATATAGATAGCTTAGAAGTCCCTCCTAAAATCCCTCTGAAATGTATTTTGCCAAGATCCCATACAAGTGTTTAATAAATCCTTTGCTTTGAAACTTCTTTTGGATAATTTGTTTGAATTACTCAAATGTTAAAGAGTAAACACCTTCAGTTCTTAACATGTATTAACAAAGTGCTATTGTTTTCATCTCCAGTAATACATTTTTGTCAAGAAATTTATTAACCTTTACAAACACTATTCTCAACCATTCATAAAAAATGATTTATGATTAAATCTGTAATAAAACCATACAAGGTTCCTCAATGCATTCAACCACAGCAGTGTTACCCATGGACATAATAAACCACTTTAAAACAGCAGTTTTCATTCATGTCATATAAGGCTGTCAAATTAAAAGAATTCTTTATAATGGGTTGTTATCCAAGAAATCCATTTCACTTCATATTAGGTGGTAAGACTGATGGATGGATCCGCCAAGAGTAGAATCTGAAAGTAGATTTTACCCCTTTATGGTCACCTTTCAATCTCAAACAAGCTTCACAACGGGAAAATATTTATGAGCAGAGAAATCAAATTCGGGAGGAACCTATAAAGAAAATCAGAAAGTCAGTGTTATCTAAAAAATGTTCAGACAGTAAACAACAAAGATCACTTCTATCTTACAGTATCTTGTATTTCTAAGGATGAGGCAGCAGCACAACATAGATTTTTTAAAAAGCTGGTTAAATGATAAAAACCAACCTGGAGGGAAAAAAATAATTAGTGTATTTCCAGGTTTGCGAAGATCACTAGAAAACAAGCTGACCTGTTTTCTATCTTAGAGGAGTTAACGAAGGAAAAAGGACTCAAATTACTGAACGATGAGATGTGTGTCACTGGTAAAGAAGGGCAGGCGGTGAGACCGAAACACTGGGAGTAAACACAGGCACGTGTAACAGATGGCACCAAAACGGCCTCAGCAGTTGGCTCCTAACAGATGCAGAACCGGTGTTGAATGTTTGTATTAGCACTGGCGTTAAAACACTACCAAGAAAGCTTATAGAATCTTCCATATCCTAAGCCATTAAAAATAGCTTATTGAAGCATTCACTTTTCTAAAAGCAGGTGACTTTTTAAGTACCTCTTCCATAAGTGTATTCATATACATTTTCTTTTTTTTACCATGAGTGATCAGGTAATTTACATGGGGAGGGAGAGGAACGAAAGGGCAGACTTTTGAAATTTTAAGTTAAAACCTCTTCTAAGATAATTTTTGAGTGCTTAAGTCTTATAAGAATACTTGTACATCTTTTTGAAAAAGTGAAGTTTCACAAAAACTGAGACCCACCATTTATTTTCCCCACAGTGTACTTGCCTTAGACTCCTTTTTGTGTCCTCCCGCCAATAGCTTCATAACCACAAAGTTGGGTTTGGCGACCTTTAAAATTCTATTGACCTAAACAATGAGCAACATTAAATTATCAAAACATAAAATTCAGTCAAAGTGTCTTTATAGATACTAATAGGAACTTTGTACAATATCAAGTGTTGATATTTTATTAAAGGCAATTTAAAAATATGAATATATTTCTATTAGTAACTATAGAACAATGCATTTCAATAAAATTTACTACACAGCAAATGTGAAAATAATGAAAGCCTGAAACTTAATATTTGCAAGTTCTAAACTCTATACAGAGGTACCACCAAGTAAGGTCACCAAAAACAATAGCCCTTTATTTTAAAAGGTCAAGTGGATAAGGTGGCTTTTACTTCCTGTGATAAATGACTAGATCATTTTTCAGATTTAAGATTTATATTTGAATATAGTAAGCTACAGATTAAGATATTTTAAATATTAGCATTTTTAAGCTATGGATCAATCTGGATCTTATTTCTATTCTTCATGGTTCTAAGTCTTTTTTTTTAATTGATTTGAGAGAAAGAGAGTGATTTGTTGTTCCTATGCATTCATTGGTGGTTTTCTTGCATGTGCCCTGACCAGAGACTGAACCTGAAATGCTGGCATATCAGGTTGACGCTCTAACCAACTGAACAACTCAGCCAGGGCCCAAGGTTCTAAGTTTTAATTTCTCCTTGCATTGATTTCTAAATTTATCCATAGGAGGTATTTACATCACCTCTCTCATCAAATAATTTTAAGTCTGACAAGGTCAGGTTAGCAAAGTCATCTGAAATTCTCAGCAGAAACACAGCAGGCTTCATTAATTAATTCTATAAAGTTCATTTTTATAATCAAACTGCCATCCAGTAGTAAGACATGTACTTCCCACCAACCTTCTCCTTTAGAATTACTGTGACCGCACTCTTACCTCATGGTCTGGGTTGGGGATGTTTTCCAGTATCATTTTAGCTTGCTGGAAGTGCTTACTAGCTGCCACATACAGATCTGGAGACTGAGGGGGAGGGCTGTATTTATTGAGGTCAGACATTTCCTAAGAAGGGGGTGAAACTATCATTCAAAACATGTTTAATATGAACAACTTAAAAGTATCTTTTTAAATTAATTCTACAATGACTGTCCATTAATAAGTGCACACCGAAGGAAACATTCAGCCGTACCTGTTTTTTCCTACGTAATAATAAATTCTCAACCTTCACATACTACCTCATGTTATTCTCATACTTAAATAACATGGTAAATACAACAGAAAAAAGCCAAGTAATTTTCACACTATTTAAATTGGTATTTTATCACCTTGTCCTATTGGTTCAACAACAGTCTGATTTGACTATTATAACAAAAGGGCTAGGCACAAACATCCACAAGAAGGTCTAAGACTAAATATTTCACTTTAGTGAGCAAGTTCACCTTGAACTGCAGATAGTGTACTGGGGGTGGGGTCATCACACTGTTGAACGGAGCAAATCTGTGCTCATACCGCACTTGTTCACTATCGAGTTCAAACTTGGGTTTTCGTACTTTGCCATCCATGTCAAATGCTACCATGGTCTACAGAAGAAAAAAAGAAAAAAGGGTACCAATATGAAAAAGTGAACACTCATTAATTCAGAATAGAAAACAGGTGTTTACAGAGAGCTAAAATAACTTAAAGCTCAGAAATCAGAAACTGACTTTAGTATTCATTTTTATGTTATGTGCCATCTTTTATATAAAATGTTTTCAAGGTCTTGTGTTTATGTTACTACTTTTCCCTGTGAAATTACACCAGGCGCACATTTTTTTTTCAATATTTCACGCTTTATAAAAGCTTTGAACCTTTCAAGTAAAAGCTTCTGAAGAAACAAGTAGCATATAAATTTTTGTAAGATAAGAATAGGTCCTGTTCTTCAAACAGGAGTCCATGTTCTATGTATTTTAATGTAAGTTACTTTAAATCATGTCCTGAATTGCTCAGTACAAGTGAAGACTCAGTACTTACTATACTACAACACCTCCTTGAAAACGCCTGCTTTTGTTTAAGCCACACATTGTGGAGCCCACCCCTTTCCCACTACATTCCCAAAAATTAGGCACTTGAGAAAAGGGTCATGTCTGATTCCGTGTGGTCTCCTGCAAATGTGCTTAATACACGACATCTGGCACACAACATGGGCTCAAGTATCTGGTAAACAATTTTAATAAAAACAACTAGACTTGGACAAAAGCTAATTTCAATAAAATTTAATAAAAACGGGTGAAATTAGAACCTAGAAAAAATTTTAATTAAACTATGTAACACCGATATAGTTGAAAAGCAAAAAACTTTTTCAACAACTTACCTTAAACATTCCAGCACACATGTTCTGATAGGCCTGGCTCATTGTGATTTCTCGGCTCAAAGGGCGAACTGTAATTAGAAAATCACCTATACTCATTAACCCTTCCTCTTGCATTACTGCAGGAGAAAATCTAATTTTTGAAAATCTTCCACCTTGTTTATTAAACTTTCAAACAGTTTTTTCCTGCAGGCTACGTGTTATTTTATGGCCCACTACAAACAATACTGACAGGCTAAACAAAAATCATGTTCCCAAATGGCTAACACCCTGACATTCTAGTATTAAGTAATTTTAGCTTCTGAATTCATCACAAAGAGAGAACAGTTTTTTTCTATAAGCAATTTGATATGTTTAATCCCCAATGGCTGTGATAGAAGCCACTTCTTTTTTTCAATTACAGTTTACATTCAGAATTATTTTGTATTAGTTTCAGGTGTATAGCGTAGTGGTTAGACAATCATATACTTTACAAAGTGATCCCCCTGATATTTCCAGTACCCACCTGGCACCACACATAGTTCAGAGACTTATATAGAAAACCTGTGAACAAGTGTTCTCAGGTTTTCTATATAAGAAACCCATGAACAGTCTACCCAAACTGCTGAAATCCTAAGGAAATACGAGTAATATTTTGTAATGATTGCAGCAATATTTGTAACCCTTCTGTACGTGACCAGTAAGGCAGTCCCTCTGAAACATTTCTTTCCCCTCCAGGTCCTTGGGTGGTGTGCCAAGGCACTATGGAATCACCCTTCTGTCAAAAGATCAAAGGTCTCCTGCTGTCTTGTTCCTTAACCTGTCTTGCTTGCAGGCTTCATGTGGCCTATCTTGCCCTAAGGTCCTCTGACACATGGACTTGCAAAGAAGTAAAGGAAAAACAAGGAAAGGAACCAAAAAGGCTTGTGTCACTGATACTGGGACTCAGTTTCTACCTTATACTTTCCAAAGAGAAGATGAGAATTAAATTATTATGACTAATTCACCTATTACAAGAGACAAGTAGCACTCCCATCTATTTATTTGTAGAATTTAAAGTATCTCCAATGTTTATTCATTTCTTAGGTTTAAAAATAATCCACGGCACCTTTCTTCTTTTTCTTTGTCTTTTTACTGCTACGGCCCTTCTGTTGCTCTTCCATTATCCTTTCCTCTGCCATCTGAGAGCCATCGGCACGACTTAATGTCGACATCAACCACGCATAAAGGAACTCAGAGAGGTACCTTACAGGATAAAAAATGTTAGTTAACAGTAGATGTCTATGTGAGATAGCTTTATCCACACATGTATTGGTGCTAACAGATTATTTTCCATAATGCTATAAAGTCTTTAAACAATAGATTATCCAATTAGTTAATTGATAGGTTAGAACTTATATGAGTGTTACAAGTGGTTAACTTCCCCTTTCTTGTAGCCATCTGTGTTGCCATACAATATGGAAAAATTTGTTTCCTACAACACACATTTTACAATTTCACAAAAGATTTATTGATAATGATGCATGTATATGCAAATCAAATAAATCCCATTGTTAGTTTTACTGTATCACAGCACCTTTCACCTCATTAGTGTAAATATTGTATTTTCCTGTTAATTACAAAAGAAAGCAAATAAATCCAAATCAAGAGCACAAAATCTCCCAATCAGCTGCCTCAAACCCCAAAGAACTTCAGCATTTTCCCTATAAACTGTCTTCTTTGTCTACTATGAGTTAACAAAATGTACCCCAAATATCTGTATCAAGACCTGTTGGTAAGAGCTATTATCTATTGAAATGTTGGAGAATACACCAAATAATATTTTCCTCATATTGCTATAGTTGATGCTCAAATTCAATCTGCACAGCCAAGAGTCTCTGTCAAAGAACCCCAGCAGCCAGAATGACAAAACCATGCCAACGATGTGGAAGAGAATTACTTTTATTCTTTCACAGCAGTTACTCCAGGAAGTATATACTGTCTTTATTACTAATATAAATAACTTAAATGAGTTTAAAAAAGTGAACTATATTAAGAGCTAATATATGGAACTTAGTTGTTTGTGATTGGGAGTAAAAGGTTATTACTATTTTAAAGTTACCACCATATTTTGCCAGGCTAAGAAAAAGATTCAAGATGACTGAATTCATTAGCTCACAATTTTCTTTATTTTCTTTCTATCATGGCTTTTCCAGGCCTAAAATATTCTCAAGCATCTTCTTCCTAGGTTTCTTCACCTCATTTCTAAGTGAAAGCAAAGAACTATATACTCTGCTTAGGATCCTCTCTTACCAACGTCTTCAAACCTCCCGAAACAAATCCTCAGGGCCACAGTTTGCAATAATTACGCTCCCATGAAAATCTTAGCCTTGGTTTCTTCTCAGAAGAAATCTGGTTCAAATTTTTAATTTTAATTCAGTTAAGTATTGGGTTAGCCAAAATGTTCATTTTTTTTTCCTGTAAGATGGCTACAGTAGCACTTAGATGTCTTTAGCTTCATTTGAAACACTGTGACAGCTGTCTATCAGCATGCATTTCAAAAAAACTTAAAATTGGCAAATTTTTGTGTAGCCATTTTAATACTGAAGATGGAAGAAAACTGCAACATTTTTGGCATATAGTGCTTTATTATTTCAAGAAAGGTAAAAATGCAACTGAAATGCAAGAAGAGATTTGTGTGATGTATGGAGGTGCTATGACTGACTGAATGTGTCAAAAGTGGCTTGTGAAGTTTTGTACTGGATTTCTCTCACTGGACAATGCTCCATAGTCAGGTAGGCCAGTTGAAGTTCATTGTAATCAAATCGAGACATTAATTGAGAACAGTCAACATCATACCACGTGGATCAGATAGCTGACATATTCAAAATAAGAAAATCAATAAAGTTATTGGTGAAAATGAAAAATGTCTTTCATTTTACAGTAAAAACCAAGTGGACTTTTTGGCCAACCCAGTGTATTCACTGATACTACTACCTGGCATCACTGAAGTTAGGGCAAAATGTGTGTTAATTTTTCTACCTATAAACAGGTAAAAGGTCTCCCAATAGTCCCACAACTAAAGTTAAAATACACTAAATTTAAAAAGTACCATGAAATTATACTCTACAAATGCTCTCTCAGATCTTTTCTATCCCACCCACTACAAATTTTAACTGAAAGTGTTCCCTTACCAATATATGTAGTAGTACTCGTGCATGCTGTAGAGTTCCAATTCAAAGCCACTTAAAAGATACTGTATCATAATTCTAAGGTTATGGTAAAGGACCCAGGTGCCTAAACAGGCCAAATGTTGCCTTTGGGGTTCCTGTTTCAACAGCATAGTGTGAAGTGCCGCATCAACCTTCTCTGCCTATCAGAATAAAACATAACATTTACTTTGTTAGGTAATGAGAGAATTTAAAATAAACACTGAGTAATAGCATGAGCAGAAAGTATGAATCTTGCCACTGAAAGAACTAATACTTACAAAAGCAGTTTGGTTAAGTTTATACCTCAACTTTCACTTCACAATGGATAATATTTAGCTAAACAGTCCTTAAAACTGAAAAGACACCCAATTTACAGGACAAAAATAAAAATAATTGACCTTCAGTTCTTTAGTTATATCATCAATTAATATTGCTACTGCTCACAAATTTAAAGTTAATTTCTAATACATTTTTATATTAATATAAACGTACTGTATAATTATAGATGTATACATATTTTATAATTTATCATGATTATCCAAGAAATAATTTAAGATGTTTCTCAGTTTGGATTATTGTTGTTTCTTTTTTGTTAACTCTTACTTTGGTATATGAAACGGTTACACTGTAAGTAAAAAGGTAATTCACCATACTGAAAAATTAAATAGTCAAAATATTGTTCCAAAGAATTGTTTTTAAAAATCTGGTCAAGGCATATGAATTGCTTAGTTTTAGAAGGCGGGACACTTGCTGGCTCTTACCTCATCCTGCAAGGTGGCGAATTCCTCAAGAATATGACCCAGCTTGTCTCTCTGACGAGCCCTGTTATGCCCATGGATCTGAATAAGACTACAGAATGGCTGCAATGCAAATACAGTTTGTTAACCATCAATATGAAATTTCCTGATACTATAGGAAATAAACATTCAAAGTTTCCAAAATCTGGTTTAAAGAGAAAAAAAATACTGTGTATGTAAGAATCATGCCTATGCATATTTTTTACGTAGGTATTTCTCTTTAAAGAGCTCAACACCAGAATTTATCAATAGTTAGAAGTGGTTGTTTATGAAACTTGTTTTCATATGACAAAAATATCCTCCTTCAATCTTCAGATACCATCCCACAATCTCAAGAGGACAGTTTCTTTTCTGCTTATTTCAAGCCAAAAGTCAATGTTCAAGGCTGACATTTCTGTGCTGTTTTACACATACCAAAATGTCTAGTAATTCTAAGGCATCAGTAATGGCTAATTCCTATAAACTTGAAGGTTCTTCTACTCCTGATCTATATAGTATTCCCATATAAAATACTGTAACATTTCATTAAACAGACAATAGACATGTACAATAGAATGCTCTAAGAAGTATGAATCAGAACATTCAAGTATAATACTGTTTTTAACATTGTATACTTTGACAGATACTATCTCATTTGATGGAAGTGATATTAACATCTCACTTTATTGAAAAGTAAAGTGATCTGCCTGATAATGATACAATGTTTGTTTATAAAAATGAGATCTGGTCATTTACTGATTCTCATTTGACCACACCATGCTATCTTCATTGTGTGTGTGTGTGTGTGTGTGTGTGTGTGTGTGTGTGTGTGTGTGTGTGTGTAGTAATTAGAATTAGGCCCTTAAGAGCTGTCTTTATATTGCTTATAATTAAATAAGAATGAATGTAATAAATTTAATCCATCACAAAGTTTATACTTTTTCCTAATTACTTGAGATTTTCAAAAACTTTGTGATCTTGTCTGCATTAATAATTTTAATTTTACTGTCATCATCCTGTTCATATGTGCCTGGGGATATTACAAATATTCCTTGTTTATAAGGTCAAGAAGTTTTTATGTGCATTTATAAAACAATGTGAACTGATGCTTTCACAGATGGGAGTCATAATACAACCCACTTCTGTGGTTCCTGAGGGTTGTAGTAAGAGGACATCAAAAGGAGCCTGTGTACCTGACAGCCTGCCAAAAAGATACTAGATTATGAAACTACCAAGTCAAGCATAAGAAACTTTTTATTCAGTGAAAATGAACAAGAAATATGAGAGGAAAAAAACAGCACAAACTAATGCTACTGAAGGAATTATACCCTACAATTTTTGAAGTATCCATCACAACGACCCAAACTGTAGCTCTTACCCGAACACAGTGAGTAACAAAGGAGTCAATACAGTCCTTAGCCTGGTGGTTATTATATAGGCAGCACCTGAAATACAACATTCATGTCATTAAAATCAAACTATTTGGCCTACAAAAAGAAGCAGAGATTTCTGTAGGTGTTACCAACAAACAGGGATGGTGGAAAAAAGAGAAAATGGAACCAAATACATTGCTAAGCTGAAGGCTGGTGGCTCTAGGTTAAGAAATATTTCACCATTACTGTGCTGTTCACACAATAAATGTCCATTTTTCCAATTTCTTTAGTTTTATATTTGGACAATCAAGAGTTAAATTGAATAAGGTCAAATTAACAAGGAAAAGAAGGAAAATTCCAAAGCTCCACTTTTTCCTGAACCTACGCCAATGTCATTAATTTTCCTACAATGGATACCCTTACAGTTATTACAAAGAACTACATAGAATCATAATTTCTCCAAGACATATCCACATTTCCAAATGCCAGTCAAAATCATCCACCATCTATATACCCCTCTGGCACTTGATCTTTTATCCTCACAAAGTGGTTTTCCTGTGGCATTCCTTAGTTAAGAGGATTACTTCTTGACTAATGCTTTCCTGAGCAGTCTGGAAGGATTTGCTCCTTTCCTGGCTCTAGAGGAACTATAGGGGCTGAATGGATGGAAGACGGCCTTTTTCCGTCCCCGAGGTGTGAGGTCAGTAGCCTTTGCACCTAAGGAGATGGCAAGAAGCAAAGACATTCTTCTGATGCACTGAGAAGGAGCTGACAATTTGCTACTCCTAAAAGTTTGCCATAACTGAGCAATCTGACCATAGCCCCAAGGATAAGCAGTTGTGATCATGCAACAGACAATGGTAGTACACACAGGAGCCAGGAAAAGAATAAGGCAGAACACCTGAAACAGACGGTGGCAAAAGAGAGGTGCTGGAAGGCCCATTATATCTTTTATTCCACAGTAAGAAAATTACTGAAACAGACTAAAATAAAGCGCTTAAAAAAAAAGACTTTCTGGATCTGAAAGCTATGATTTTCAAACCTAAAGATTCAGTACATGAGAGATGCTCACTAGTAGTCTTGAAGATCAAGAGGAAGAACTCAAACCACAGAAAATATAACAAAGAGATAAGTGTCATGAGGAATAAGATGATTAGAAGAATATAGTATATTAGGAGTTCTAAGTAAGAGAGAGAGGAAAAAGATGAAGGTGAAGCAGTAATTAAATAATAATATAGGACAAGTGATTTGACTGAAAGACCTGAAGCTTTAATGAACTCAGTTCCAATAGTAGTTGAAAATTACACCTGAACATTCTGTTAAAACTCTTGAAGTCCAAAGTGTCGCAGGTTCGATTCCCAGTCAGGGTACATGCCTGGGTTGCAGGCCATGACCCCCAGCAACTGCACATTGATGTTTCTCGCTCTCTCTCCCTCCCTTCCCTCTCTAAAAATAAATAAAATTTTAAAAAACAAAACAAAACGAAACTCTTGAATTCCCCAAACTCCTAAAATAAAGAGAAACTCTATAATCCTCTACAAGAAAATGTCAAATCACCACAGAGGAAAAAATATCAGCAGCAGATTCCTTACATATAACACTGTATTTTGAAAAACAGTGGAATGCCATCTACAAGCTACTTACTACGCAGTGAATGTTGCTACATGCACAGTTGATTCTTGGTATTTGTGACAGTCTTCTCTGTAAAGTTGCCCTGGACACTAGATTAGACAATACTGAAACGTTGCTGCCAGTGTAAAATACAGGGTTCTGTTTCTGCCAGCCTCTGGTCACATTTTTATGCAACTAACCAATACATAACAGTCTTATTTTATGTGTATTTGTTTCCAGATACCATAAATAATATATACTGTTGATACATTAGCATCGAACTCATGCCTGAGCAAAGCTTACCTAACACATCTTCTCTCTGTAAAGCACAGGACAGCCTTCTTGTGCTAAGGCACACCAGACAGCACATCACCACCCTTACAAGCCATTTTAAACTATGAAATCAAGGAAAAGCACAAAAACAGTCCTCTAGTGGAGCTATTTATAGTATAAGGGCTGAGACAAGAAGGCAACGAGAAGGCTGCCTTGCTCAACCTCAGTGTTAGGCAACTTGCTTATGTCCATGAAGATGAAAAAAGCAGAGTGAATATTGATCTGAGAGTTACTAATATATTTTAGTGTGTAGGCAGATTTATAAACACGGAATCCACAAATAATAAGATGGACTGTAGTTAAATCTAAATGGGTGGCAAAAGTAACAATGTGTAATCTAAGTGCTGAAGTAGGACTGTTAAATAGAAAATGCAGAATGTGCCCTGGCTGGGTGACTTGTGTGGAGCACTGCCCCGGTCACTGAAAGCCTGTGGGCTGGATCTCTGGTCGGGGTGTGTATGGGAGGCAACCAATCAATGTCTCTGCCTCAGTCTCTGCCTCTCTCTCTCTCTCTCTCTCTAAAAACCAATGAACATGTCCTTGACTGAGAATTTTTAAACAGTTGAATTTCTATCTTCATAACATTTACTGGAAAATTAACTCAGAAGAATTAAAAATTTAAAGGTAGAGAATAAAGCCATAAAAATCTCTGGAAGAAAAGTTTAGTTGGTTTAAGATTGAATAGGACAATCTATGGTCTGGGGAGAATTATTTGCTTCAAATAAGAAAGGTATTAAGTTATACAGGAAAAAAAAAAAGCAAAAACTATCAGAGAAAATGAAAATTTTGATGTGGAAAAACAAAGATAAGCAATTCATTTAAAAAATCTAAATGTCCAATAAATAATTAGTGATTAAAGTAACAACAAGATATTACTTCTTACCCAACACATTGGAAAAAATAAAGAATGATAACACCTGCTACTCAGGATGCAGGAAAAAGTATAACCTCATATATCAATTACTAGGAGAAATATGAATTGTTACAATCTTTTGGAATGCAATCTGGCAATATTTATCTCTACACATGCCCCCCTACTCAACAATCTCACTCCTTAGAATACAATCTTATTATAAAATATTTGGCAGCCATTACAAAATTAATTAAATCTATATCAGGTAATTTGAAACAAAGTCATGATTGTATCTTTTTGGGCAGAAAAAAGGTAAACAATTTTAAAAGTAAAAATAATTTTTTAAATTTAAAAAGCAATCCATAAAAGTTCACAAAAGAGCCTGTTAATGTCCTCTTATTTAGAGCAAGTCATGTATGTGTGTATCTTTATACAGAAAAATATATGCAGTGACAGTCATCAAAATGTAGTTATCATAGAGGTAAGATTTCAGGTGGTTTTTACTCTTTCACATATTTTCCTGTATTTTTAAAATTTTCCAATGTAACCATGTATTATTTATATACAGTTATCTCCCCATAGCTACAGTTTCACTTTTTGCAGTTTTAGTTACCCATGGGGTTCCCAAAATATTTAATGGCCAATTCCAGAAATAAATAATCGATAGTTTATATGAATACAGTGTTTGTTTCACAATATCTGACTGTACTGTGTTTGTCTTTTCACTTTGTACTTGAACACAAACATGGTGATACCTCAAGGTCTGAGAAGCGAGACGGCAACCAGGTGACTAACGGGTGGGCAGTGCACAGCGCGTACACACTGGTGACGGGCGGTGTGCATCCTGGGCTGGACAGAGCAGGACAACCCTAGATTTCATCCTGCTGCTTACAATGGTGTGCTATTTAAAATTTACAGATTACTTATTCCTGGAATTTTTCAATAAATATTTTCAGACAGCAGTTGGCCTTGGGAATTAAAATCATGAAAAGTGAAGCCACAGGTACAGGGAGGGACTACTGTATTTCACCTAATAATGACCCAAAAGTGCAGGAGAAGTGATGCCGATGAAGGAAAGTAGCATTTGCCACTCTAAAAATATGCCTCTTTGAGATGGTATTTTAAGCTGGTTATTTTTAAGAAACAAGACTCAGGAAGAACCTTTGATTTCCTCCCCAACTGTTTAACAGATTTAGATATAGAACCTGCTCCAGAAAGGGAGCCATCATAATGGAAAACTATAGTTCAGTATGAAAGGTGTGGTATAAGGGAGGAACCTATCAAATACTGTTTGATCCAAGTCCTCTCTGTGTCCCACTGTTCAACAAGGCCCAGCAAAACAGCTACCAAACACCTGCTTTTCCATCTCCATGTGAATATCCTTCCTCACCTGTGAAGTCCAAAACCATGACCTCCCTTTCTCCTTCACTCAAGACGGCACATACAGCCTCAACGGCCTTTTTCCTAAAGCTCCATAGTCTTACGGAATCCCTGTACATACATATGTAATTAAACTTGTTGTTTTTTTTCCCCTCCCGTTAATCTGTCTTGTGTCATTTTAATTATTCAACCAGGAAGAACTAAGCAGGGAAAAGGAAAATTTTCTCCTCCCCCAAACTGGCGATTTGGATATGCCAAAGAGAAGCTGTAAAGGGCTTCCTTTATGTGAAAAGATATATGCATTTTAAAGAATGGTGTATATAGGGTGTGGTACTGTCTGAGGTTTCGGAAACCACTTGGGGTCCTGGAATGTATCCCCCATGGATAAGGGGTGAGAACTACTATAATCAGCTTGCTTTTTTTTTTTTAAGCAATAGTTACGTTCTCTTCCCTTTCTATTCCTTATTGAATACGCTGTCACATCCTACTAAGTTTACTAACAAAATTATTCCTATTAATTGTACTACTGAAATCTGTCCTCTCCTTTATATTTCCAGGGTTTAATTCTTCCTCATCTATTACCTGTACTACCAAATCAGCCTCGCTAAACACTCTGCCTCCATTATCACTACTGGTTTGCTTCCTACTAAAAAATACATACTCTACCATGCCAATTCCTTTCTAAAAACTTGAAGCAGTTCCTGAATTAACCATAAAATAATGAAAGAAATGGAATGCTGGATCATGGGAGATGGGGGAAGGTTGACCCTTTTTAAATAGAATGATCAGGGTAGCCCTCACTGAGGTGACACTGGACTTGAGGGTGGTGAGGGAGCTGGCCCTGGGAATCTTTGAGGAAAACACCCTCTACCCCCATTCCTGTAAAAAGGCCATGAGAGAGTGTGTACGTTCCAGCAACAAGAGAGTCAGTGTGGCTGAAGCCAAGGAGGTGAGGGGAGAGCAGTAAGAGATGCGGCCAGACGGGCGTCAGGACAGGGATCTAGATCAGAGCGTATGGGGCCTTGAAGGCTCAATTAGAAAGACTTTGGCTTTACCTGTGGACGCAACGGTGAAATGTTAACCAACAGTGAGGACACTTGGGAATTTACTTCCTCCCGGTTAAGGGGCAGTCGTTAATTGCGAGGTGTCTGGGTAAATTCTCATGCTCCCTGGGCCCATGACTAACAACTCTTGAGGTGTCATGCACTGTCTACAGAGCTCCTGACAAGAATGAACAAGGGTTACTTTCCACAGAGCACACCTTTGTGTGGTGGCTTTCTTCTTTTCCATGTCCCACCTGCCCACAGCTCTACTGTTTTTTCCTGGGAAAAATTTATAATAGCATTTACATGAATCTTTGTCACAGGGTCGGCTTCTGGGGAAACCCAACCAAAGAAAGCTACCAGAGAGTTCTATGTGAGATGTGGCATGATTCATTCAGACTGAATGCCGAGCCACTAACTTCTTATAATACACCACCTCATACACCGCGTCTTCACACATGCTGGTTTCTTTGTTAAGAAGTAAAGACTCCTTTCTTCCATCCACCACGGAAAGCTCTACTTATTTTCCAAAATGTCAACTCAAATTATGATTCTTTCTGCCTGAAATACTTTCCAGCCTCTTACAGCAGCATGTTTTCGGGGTAGTGACTCTATCAGAACATAATTTAAGAATCAATCACCTGCATTTTCTATTTCTATCTGGACTGAGCTTGTTGAGAAGAGACCTTATCTTGTTTTTTTTTTTTTAATTACTAACAGTGCTTTGCACGCAGTAGGAATTAATATAATTTACTGAATTTCTTGTAACTGCTTGAAGTTTTTCTACTCATATTGGACCTAAGGTCAACCTCACAAAAACCTCAATTTAAATCTAAACAATATGTGGCATAAATAAATTAATTTTAATGTGATTGAATTTGTTGTTTTTATACAGAGACTTGATTTCAACAGTTTTTTTTTTTTATTTCTTGGCTAAAAAGGAGAAGGACAGAGAATTTGGGCTTTTAAGGAACACACATTATAAAACATCTTCTGATACTTACTTTGGGGAAAGCACCGGAGGACTGACAAAAGACCGAAGGGCATCTTTCACCATGTCTTGCATGAGATGAGTTCCAAAGACCTTTTTGTTATCAACCAGGAAAGTGGTCTTAAAAACAAATGTTACATATTAGTAATGCTGTCACAAACTTGACATACTGCACATATAGTTCCCATTACTGTGACATGAGAATACTTCTTGGCTATAAATACCACAGAGGCCCTGACTGGTGTACCTCAGTTGGCTGGGTGTTGTCCCTCAATGCAAAAATGTCGCTGGTTCGATTCCCAGTGAGGGCACTTGCCTGGGTTGTGGGTTTGATCCCCGGTCAGAGAGCATAGGAGCGACAACAGATCCATGTTTCTCTTTCACACTGATATTTCTCTCCCTCTCTTTTTCCCTCCCTTCCCCTCTCTCTAAAAATAAATAAAATCTTTTTAAGAAACCCCACAGAATACAAAAGAGATTAAAATATAAAAAGTTGGTGGAAAATTTTTATAAATCACTGCCTCCACAACAGGTATTACATATTAATCCCTATTTAAGGTGTATTTTGATGCAGGAGAATTAAAAATGTGCAGGAAAAAATCTTCCAAGTCAAATTGTGAACTTGTCAAAAATAAACTGACTAGTCTAATTATATCAAATGAGCTAATTACATAAGAAAAGACTTCAGAAATTATGAAATAGTAAATGGCTATAAATACTTAGCTAGTCGGTAATCTGTAATACCAATAAGGAATGCATGAGAGGCAACCAAACATTTGATGTTTCTCTCCCCCTTTTGCCCTCCCTTCCCCTTCTCTAAACATAAATAAAATCTTAAAACAAAAAATGCAACCTTTCCAAAATTGGAAAAAAAATAGATTATTAAAAAATACATTACGGGCTGGGAACCAAAGTGTTCCAGGTTCGATTCCCAGCCAGGGTACAGTCCTGGGTTGCAGGCCATAACCCCCAGCAACCACACATTGATGTCTGTCTGTCTGTCTGTCTCTCTCTCTCTCTCTCTCCCCCAACCCCTTCCCTCCCTAAAAATAAATAAATAAAATCTTTAAAAAAACCCATTAAATTAAAATAAAATATTACTTCATAATAATTTGCATTTAATTTGTTCTCTTAACCTCATTGCATTTTAATATTTATTATATTATACCCTATTTGATTTCGTAACACATGTGGGTTATTTCCAGTTTTTGATGATCATGAACCAAATAGCTATAAATATTTGTATACAGTTTTCCAGAACATTGGATTCTACTTCTCTAGTAAACAAGTAGAAGTGGGATTTCTACATTTCACTTTATAAGAATCTGCCAAGTTGTTTCCCAAAAAGTATGTAGCACTTCACATTCCCATCAGTACTGCATCCTTACAAGCACTTGCTATTTTATTTTCCTTTAAAAGATGGCGGATAGTGGCATTTCATTATGGTTTTAATTTGCACTTCTGTAATACTAATGATGTTGAGTTTTTTCCATGTCAAAGTGTTCAAATTTTTGCTTATTTAAAAAATTGGATGGTCTGTTTTTTTATACTTTTAGAGTTCTTTTTATGTTCTAGATTCAAGTCCTTTGTCAGACATGATTTGCAAATATTTTCTCCTACTCCAGTCTCTTCATTTTCTTGAATGTCTTCCACAGGATTAAAGTTTTACATTTATCAACTTAAAGATTGTGCTTTTGACATCACACCTGAGAATTCTCTGCCTTTTCCAATGTCACAAAGATTTTCTCCTATGCTTTCTTCTAAAAGTTTTAGTTTCACATTTTACATTTAAGTTTATGATGTATTCTGAGTCAGTTTTCCACCCATATGCCTATCCAATTGTTCTTGCACCACCTACTAAAAAGACTACCATTTCTCTATGGACTTCCCTTGGTAATTGGTCAAAAATTGACCATACTAATTATATTTTCATTTCACTATATTTTAAGACTTCCTCTTTGATCCGTGGGTTATTTAGACATGCATTAATTTCTAAATATTTGGAGAATTTTCCAGATCTTCTATGAATTGCTCATTTAATTCAAACTAATCAGAGAACATACTTTGTATCATTCAATTGTTTTAAAATTAAGGTTTATTTTATGGCCCAGGATATGATCTTGATGAATGTCTAACAATTTAAGTCAATGCTTGTAATTTAAGGATGTAACATTAACTGTGGAATAGGCTTAGAAAGAAGCATTTACCTTTTGTTCCATCAATAAAACAATGTCAACAGACACATAATTTGATATTTAAAGAAGTTTTTTCAATACTAAGTGACACTTACTTGTAATAGAGATCTTGAAAGAACACAAGGTGATTGTTCACTAAACTCACAGAAAAAATCCTAAGAGATAAACAGAGAAAAAGTAACGTCAATAATGGATTTAATAAAAGCAGAAAACATCTGCATATGGAGTGTAGTTTTTACTGGAAATAAAACACTCTCAGAGTTAGAATATGACCAACAATTAAAGATCATCTCTACAGGAATTGTCTAAACTATATCAGAGACTTTGGACAATTTTAGAGCCTCAATTTTTTTTAAACAAACTGACCAATAGTAGTCTTTTGTGGACACTCACATTAAATTTGTACACCATGAAAATAACTGTCAACAATATTTTACTAATTAATTTTAGGGTTTACTTCCTACTTCACCTAAATGAATACCACGTAATAACCAGGCCAACTGGATTCATATTACTGACTGACTTCCTGACTCTAGGGAAAACACAAAAGGTATGCTCAGAAAGCTATACGTGGGATTATACAGATAGAGAAAAAAAAAGACAAGAAAACACACTGAAATGTTAACATCTGTAGGTTGTAGGACAGTAGTTATTTATCATCTTAATATCTTTCTGCATTTTGGGGGGTCAAAGTAACACATTTTTAAGAGTGGAAAGAGGTAGTCTACTGGCTGTCTCTAGCTGTTATTATCCAGAGACAACCAATATTATGCACTTCATCATGTAGAGGGAACAACAGTCAAATGACTATCTACACATAGTAATGCAAAATAAATTAGTGTACTTATATCTAAGTATCAACAAGAGGAGTACAGGAGAATGACTACTGCCCTTTATCAACATTAAATATTATTATACTTTTCAATCTAGTTGTTATAAATTACATTTCTTTAATAACTAGTAAGATAAGCACTATTAATGTTTACTTCTTTTTAAAAGTGTGTGCTTATGTCCTTTCCCAATTTTTCATTTGGATGCTTATCTTTATTTTACTAATATGTCAGCATTCTTTATAATCTGGCATTAACCTGCCCTAGCTGGTGTGGCCCTGTGGATTGAGTTGCCGGCCTGCGAACCAAAGGGTAGCTGGTTCAATTCCCAGTTGGAACACATGCCTGGGTTGGGGCCAGATCCCCAGTAGGGGGCGCCTGAGAGGCAAACACACACTGATGTTTCCCTTTCTTTCTCCTTCCCTTCCCCTCTCTAAAAATAAATAAAATCTTAACAAACAAAAAGTAATCCGGCATTATCCTAATAACAGGGTTCTTATGCAGATTAACCAGACAATTTGGTCCCTAACCCTCCCTGACTTTTTATCCTTCCCTCTACTCTTGGCTTCTTGTACCCCCAGAACCCCCACTACCACTGCCCATTCCTCTGTCCCAAGTCCTCCAGGGATCCAGACTTTTCTCCTACTAGACTCTTTCCAGGTCCAGGGCCAGCAGTCCAGGCCTGGCTCCCTCAGCTCCTCTCTATGGTGTGTCAGTATGCACTCATCCCTCTGACAAGGTAATCCATAATCTTCTGCCAGAATACAAATTCCAACTGTGTATTATATTTTCTTATGCCAATTCACATTGATCTCTCCCTTTCTAAAACCCTGTAATTAATCTGGTGAACATAAATAGGTACCCATGTAACAATTAAGGATCAGAAAGGTAGATGCAGCAGAAGAATAAGAAATCTCTATTTATTATCCAGATATGTCACTAACCAATCTCATTTAGTTACAATCCCTCTCAACCTAGGTTTAGCATTATGACAAACTGCGAAATGAATTGGCTTACATCTGTGATCTTTTCTATCTCTTAAGATTCTATGATTCTTAATGACAAAGTACTAAAAAGAAGGCAAACACAAAAGAAGTAATAAAGGCATAATCAGTGAAAGTTTCACCAAGGAGTGAAGACTTAAGCTGGGTGTTAGTGACAAAGAATTAGTAGAAGAGAAAATAAAGTTATAAGACAGAACATAAACAAAAGCACAAATCTTTATTGACCATCAGCTATATCCCAGAGGCAGTTGCTCAATTCTAGGAATATAAACTGGTTAACCTGTCACCTCAAGGAACAGAGGTTCAGAAGAAACCTGCACCCAGCAAGAAAGACTTCACAGAGGGAATGACAGAGGGCTAGGAATTATGTACTTTAGCATGTAGAGGGAACAAGAGTCAAATGCATATCTACACAGAGTAGTGCAAAATAAATTAATGTACTTGTATCTACATAGCAACAGTGTTATTATGCATATTTTGTACCTTCCTATGAACCTTAAATATATCACTATTACCTTACCAATTAATAAAACTCCACCCCTGAATGTTTTAATATTCCCAAAATTAAACTATAGTTTTTCCATATTTAAATCCATAAAAAGATTAATCCAAAAAATGCCAACTTAAAAATGCATGTACTCTTTTACCCAGAAACCTCACTGTGTAGTAACCTATGTTAAGGGGCAAGAAAGTGCCTGAATAAAGATTTACCTATAAAGATATTCACCATAGTATTGTTTTTAGTAGTAAAACACTGCAAGAGACTTAAATGCAGTTCAATATGAATGGAATGAAAAAAAAAAGCATGCTTACTGTGGAATCCCACGTAGCCATTAAAATAATACAGAAATATATGTATTTGTTGACATGAAAAGATAGTCATGATATAGAGATTAGTAATTAAAGAAAAAGTTACCAAACACCATGATCCAATTTTGTATGAAAAATACTGATACACATGCACTATGTGTATGCATGCACACACCTATTTATATAAATGATTTTGAAGACATAATCTAGGGTTTAAATTCCCATTTGTAAAGTGTGGATGAATTATGTAGCCTCGTGACTTTAGTTTCTTAATCTCTAAAACAAAGTTATATTAAGAATAGAGATTTGTACTTACCAGGATACAGTGTAAATTTGTTAAGTTTACCACCTCACAAACAGTTTTTATTCTATCTATTAATCTTGCAAAATAGTTGACCATTTCTTCTCTTTTAATTATCTTTGCATATCGAGGAAAAGTGGGTGGAAGTAGCCTCTGGTTAACAAGGGGCTCAAAACCCATCATAATTGGATGATCTAAAAAGAAATAAAAATAAGATTTTCAATGTTTCTTGGAATTTAAAACTTCAAACACTACTAAATGTGAAAAAGGCCAGTTTCAAAAACATCTCCAAATGAATTCTAATCATAATATTCTCTAGATTTTATAATTTACAATTACTATATCTACACACACATATTTTAAAATAGATAAGCATATTTAAAAGCTAAAGTTGTACTTGCCATCTACATGGTGGTGGTGATGTTTACAGGGAGGGCCTTCTGCCTCCAAACCAAGAATGGGATAAAACACAGTTAATATATTCCCACATAACAACTATCTTTTCTGACTATAATGGTATGAAACCAGGAAGCAACAAGAGGCAAATAGAAAATCCACAAATACATGGAAACTAAACAACACAGTTCTAAACAACCAATGGGTCAACAAAGAAATCAAAAACTATCTCAAACCAAATGAAAATGGAAAAAACACACCAAAACCTATGAGCTTCAAAAGCAGTTGTGACAGGGAAGTTCATAGCAATAAAAGAACATATGTAAAAAATTAGAAACATTTCAAATAAACAACCTAACTTTATACTTCAAGGAACTAGGAAACAAATTAAGCCCAAAGTTAGCCAAAGAAAGGAAATAATAATGATCAGAGTGAAAATAAATGCTATAGAAACCAGAAAAACAACAGAAACAATCAACAAAACTAAGAGCTGGTTTACCAAAGATAAACAAAGTTGGCCAAACTTTAGTAATTCCTATATGTCTACTGATTGGAGAATTTAGTTTTCATTTAAAGTAATTATGGATAGATATGGAACTGCCAATCTCACTTTGTAGACTGTTTTCTGGTGGTTTTCTAATTTTTATAATTTGTTTCCTTTTTTCTCTTGCTCTTTTCCTTTGTTATTTGATAATTTTCTGTAGTGCTATCCTTTGATTACTTTATCTCTTTTTTTAATATCTATAGGCTTTTGCTTTGTGGTTACCATGAGGCTTGCATAAAATACATTTGTATTCAATAAGTGTATTTTAAGCAGATAACCTCAAACACATACAAAAGCTCAGTCCATCATATTTTATGCTTTTGATGTTACACTTTTCATCTTTTTACATTGCATATCATTAACAAATAATTGCAACTATAGTTATTTTAATACTTTTGTTTTTTAACCTTCATGTAAGAGTTAATAAGTGCTTTACCCACTACCATTAACAACATTAGAGTATTCTGAATTCAACTAGTTGGCCCTTGGTAGCCACAGGTTTTGCATCCATGGATTCAACCAACCAGAGATCAATCCACGACTGGGAACCTGTGGATAGAGAAGGCCGACTATATGCGCTGTTCTATGCTACTTCATAGAAGGGACTTGCACATCTATGGAGGATCCTGGAACCAGTCTGTTGCTGATACACAAGGACCACTGTATTTATGTTTCACAGTTTTATACATTCCTATGTTTTCAGCCCAGCCCAAGCTGCTAGTTGCCTTTAAACTTCTGTGATTGTCCTCACTTCCTCCTCAGTTCTTAGTAGTAGTTGAGGGTGTGTCAAGACTCACCAGTGTCCCAAAGCCAGCATCTATATGCAGGCCAATTAGAAGCTAAACCCTCTTGTAGCAGCCGGGGAAGTATGTAGTTAATTCCCTTCCAGGCAGAAACTAGGAGATGGGCATTTTTGTCTAATTCCTCTGTGCTAGGTCTGGGTGTATATCCATAGGGGGAAGGGTGCTCCCATACCTGATAACAACTGTTTCTTTGTTTTACAGTCTGGTGGGGCTCCTGAATCCAAGCCCTGTTGGTCAGTAGAGCCAGGTGATCTGGGGGCTCATCCCTTGCACAGCTGCAAAAGCTTGAGCACCAGCTGTGTGTGTACAAGCTCCTTCCCGGGGGATACTGGTAACTGGGTTTTATCATTACAACAAGTTGGACAGAGGAAGTGAGAAAGGTGCCTGCTGGTTTTCCCAGTTTCAGGAAAATCTCATCTAGCCTTTAGATGCCTGCTAAATTAGAAGCCCAACACTCAGGCAGCAGCTTTTATGGAATGCAGACAAACCTATTTCAGGGGAAGACTAGGAGACGAGTAATTTTGACTACTGCCTCTGCATGGATCCCTGCAGGGACAGCCACGGCAAATGACTGTGAAATAAGCCAGGCAGTGAAAAGACAAATACTGTACGATCTTACCTGTTAGGAGAACCTAATGAACAAAACAAACAAATGAGCAAAACAGAACCAGAGGCATGGAAACAAGGAACAGGCTGACAGTGACAAGAGGGGAGGGGGATAAGGGTAGAAAAAAAGGGAAGGGACTAGTCAAGGACCCATGGCCATGGACAACAGGGTGGGGATGGACTGTGGGGGTAGAGGTAGGGGTAGGCTGGGTGGATGAAGACAAAGGGGAAAATTGGGGACAACCATAATAGAATAACAATAAAATATTAAAAATAAAAGAACTGCTTCTTTGTTTGCTACAGTCTTCTGGGACTCATAGATAGAAGCCCTCTGGCTAGGGATTCAAGTTCCATCCCTCAGCCAGTAGCAGTAAAAGGTGGGGTGCAGTTGTATAAACAAGGTTCTTCCAGAGAGGTACCGGCAACTTGGGAGTGGGTTGGAGGGAGAAGGCAAGCAAGGTATCTTTGGACTTCCCTGGTCTCTGGGAAGGATCACAGCCCACCACTAGCTAGTGCCTGCTAAGTGAGAAACTGCCTAAGGCAGCAGCTTTTAAAGTATACAGATAAACCTCTTTCACAGACAGCTTGACAGAAGGGTAATTTTGTCTGCACTCTCCCTGCTGACCCCTATAGGGACAGCCAAGGCAAGTGCTCACAAGCCCATTAAGAACTGCTTAATTCTTTGCTGTAGTCTTGTGGGTCTTGTGGACACAAGCCGTGCTGCCTTTCAGAGCTAGCTTTTCTGAGATCCTGTCTTTCCAGAAGGAGTCTTAAAAGTTGGGATGCTAGAGGTGGAGTGCAAACAGTTCACTCCTCAGGAAGAAAGCTGGAAGTCAGGGTCACTCTCCTGACTGTATGGCCCTATGCTGGGGGGTTATGGCAGAGTATGTCTCAGCTTTACCTGCCCATTTAGGTGTGGGTATTTTCTCATTCATCTAATGCATAGGAGCTGATCAGCTAGTTTCTGGGTATCTTTCAGAAGGAATTGCTTTGTATGTAGCTGTGCATTCACTATGTTCACGGGAGAAAGAAAGCTCAGGAGCCTCCTATGTCACCATCTTGATCAAGTCCCACCCCCCGATACTTGCAGTGGACAATAGTCTTTAGGAAGCAAGATCTGGATGATAGATTCTTTAGATGACAGAGCTAGAAAACATACATATGTATACGGACATATAAACTTTTTTTTTAAATTTTATTCCGAAAGAGAAAGGCAGGGAAGGAGAAAGAGAGGGACAGAAACATCAATGTGTGGCTGCCTCCCATGCATCCCCCACTGGAGACCCGGCCCACAACCCAGGCATGCTCCCTGACTGGGAATTAAACCAGTGACCTCTTGGTTTGGAGGCCTGCGCTCAATCCACCGAGCCACACACCAGCCAGGGCACCAACTGGATGTTTTAAAAAACAATAAACACTTACTCTCTCACAGTTCTAAAGGCCAGAAATTTAAGATCAGTTTCACTGGACTGATCTTAGTCCAAGGCACTGACAGGACAGCACTCTGTCCAAAGACTCTAAAGGGAAAACTTACTCCTTGTCCCTTCCAGCTTTTCGTGGCTGCTGGAATTCTCTGGCCTCTAGCTGCTTCATACAAATCTATACCTGTCTTCCCATCACTGTCTCTTCTGTGTGTTTAATCTTCCTCTGCCTCTTTTAAGATATTAAGGATGATATTTAGGGCCCAAATAGATAATCCAAGATTATCTCATTGAAAGATCTTTACTTAGTTGCATCTGCAAGGACTTTTCCAAATAAAAAACACAGGTTTCAAGATGACCATAAGTGTGAGGGTTAGAGTTTTTGGATTCTGACTCTATTCTACAGATGTATGCCTATCTTTATACAAGCCCTACACTGTCTTAATTACTGTAGCTTTGCAATCAGTTTTGAAATCAGAAAGAATGACTCCTTCGACTTTGTTCTTTGCGCCACTGATTTATATGTTTCCATTACTGTTGTTAAGAAGTCTAATGACCTTCTGTCTTGATTCCGTATCTGTAACTTGATTTTGTCTCTTTCAAATCTCTTAGGACCTGACTTTTAACCCACCAATATGAAGTTTCATGATGATATGGTTTAAAAGAAGTCTATTTTCATCCTGGTTGTACCAGGTACCTCTTTATTGGTCCCCTCAATCTAAGTATTTGTATCAATCAAATCCATAAAATTTTCATAAATGATTTTTGGGGTGTTTTTTTGCTTCTACTTTCTGATCTCTTATTTCTGGAACAACCTTTATTAGTTTACATTTCTTTTATCTTATTTTTATCCTTATTGGATATTAGACCTTCTGGAACTGATCCTATAGTATTTTTCATTCGCCTTATTTTCAATCTCTACACTTTTTACTCTACTTTCTCTAAGATTTCCTTCAGTTTGCATTGTTTTCTTTCAATTTTTATCATTTCTGTTTACATTTGAATCTCAAAGACCATGTTCTTTTTTTCCTTTTTAATCATCACCCAAGGATATGTTCACTGACTTTAGAGGGAGGAAAGCAGGAGAGAGAGATACATCAATGAGAGAGAGACACATAAGTTGGCTGCCTCCTGTACACATGCCAACTAGGGATCAAACCTGCACACCTTTTGGTATACAGGACAACACTCCAACTAACTCAGGCCAGAGCTTTTATTCCTTTTTTTCCTAATATGCTATATGTATTACATTTTACACATGCACTGATTTTTCTCATTTTTAAAGGCATGTGATCCATTTGCCTGTTTTGTTCCTATTTGCAGCCTTGAGATTTCCCACCTTGACTAGATTTGTCACTGAAGGATAAAATAAACCTCATTAAGAGCTCTGTGAATACACGTTAGGCTTTTCCGCCAAGCTGTTTTATCATGAGAGTACAAATTTTGCTATGTTTTCACCCACCTCTGGGTGTCAGACTTCTCTAAAAAGACTCTTTCAAATTCTTAAGTGGAGTACAAGAGCTAGGCTGTACTGTTTTGGAAACTAAGTGAGGGGAAAAAATGGCTAAAGTTTGGAGGGAAAGAGGAAGTAAGTCGGTCACAATAGTAAATATTTAATTTTTCACTTAACTCTCCCATAATGTGTACTATTCAATGGTGCCTGGTGTCCCCCCATCCAGAATCTGTTACCCTACATGAATGCTCAGTGATTTAAAGCTTTACATAGCCATTTTGTTACCAGCTGGAGTTATAATATTAAGAAGGCAAATGAGTTATCTGAGATGAAAACTAATCTACAGCATTGTTTTATCATCATTCTTCTTAAAATAGACATTGGGAAGGCATTCAGTTTTTTTGTTTTGTTTTGTTTTTAAAGATTTTATTCATTTATTTTTAGAGTGGGAAGGGAGGGAGATAGAGAGAGAGAGAGAAACATCAATGTGTGGTTGCTGGGGGTTATAGCCTGCAACTCAGGCATGTACCCTGGCTGGGAATCGAACCTGCGACACTTTGGTTCGCAACCCGCGCTCAATCCACAGAGCTACGCCAGCCAGGGCTAGTTTTTTTTTTATTATATAACCTTTTAGCTTTATGCTCAAGGAATAATTACAATGTTAAATTAAGACAGCTAAAGGTTTAAACAGAAAACTAAGCAGAGTAAGTACTCCCTAAATTTACTACTTCACCTGCTTAATCATCGAGACAGCTTTAAGCAAATCATCTTCCTGAAGCTTATTTGTAGGCAGACTATAAAACCAAATAGTGGAGAATATACACACAGGCAATATTTTTCTTTTTTTTTTGTTTTTAAGCCCTGACTATAGGGAAGCCACAAACCACCTGGACAACTAATGATCCTATGGTGATGAGTATCCTCACAGTTATAGTTTTCACAAAAGTATTCTTGCACTAGTATTCAAAGTATTGAAGAGCTGTAGATATGTTATACTTCTCTGTAAATAAGTACTAGACAGCTTGCTATGCATAACAACCTTTTTTTAATGTACCATGGTTACAGAATGCCACCTGGTTAGGCATCTTATATATATATTCCCCTACTGAACCAAAAAAATGTTAATGAATATATTCATTGTAATTATTAGATAAATAAAGATTATAATACTGATTTCCTAAACCAAATTACCTTTGCACTACCCACTATCTAATATCTGAATAAGAAAAAAAGTTTGTGGGAAGGGGAACATCCAACCACTGTCCCTAAAACGTGAGGAGTGCAAAAAGAAAGCAGTGAAATTAGGAAAAACTGGTCTTCTTGGTCACAACACCAACAACTGGGAAACAAAGTTTAAAGAATATAAATTTCATCTTATTTTAATAAATTTAAATTAGTCTTCTTTTATTGATTCTAGAGACAGGGGAATGGAAGGAGAGAAACATCAATGTGAGAAAGAAACTAATCAGTTGCCTTTTGCACGTGCCCCAACTGAGGATGCCCCAACTGAGGACCGAACAAACCTGCAACCCGAGCATGTACCCTGTTAGGGAATTAAACCAGTGACCTTTCAGTTTGCAGGACAACATCCAACCAATTGAGCCATACTAGCCAGGGCTCATTTTCAGTAAGTTTTAAGGGTAATCAAAATTGCCACATATTATCTAAAATATTAATTTACTTGCAACTTTTATAAGAAAAGTACACTATTCCTTTCATATTAAGGCTTATTTCATAAATTAAATCTGAGTGATAAACAAATCTTTAGAGGGATAAACAAATAAGAAAGTCCCTGGCCTAAAGTATCAAAAACTCATGGAAAGACAAACAGGTAAACAACTACAATATGATACACTAAAAAATGCTGTAGCAGAGGCATGTATGAGTCCAGTGGGGGAATACTGAAGCTGCCTGGTGAAGGGAGGGAAGACTCTGTAATGAAGGTAATGATCTGTCAAAGAAGTAAAGGGGAGAAGGTGACTAAAAAAGAATGTACTGCCCTGGCTGGTGTAGTTCAGTGGATTGAGTGCTAACCTGTGACCCAAAAGGTCACCAGTTTCATTCCCAGTCAGGGTGCATGTCTGGGTTGCATGCCAGGTCCCCAGTTGGGGGTGTGTGAGAGGCAACTGATCGATGTTATCTTTCATGCATCCATGTTTCTCTTTCTCCCTCCTTTCCTCTCTCTCTAAAGATTAAAAAAAAAAATGTCCTGTTGACATCATAATATGGTCCCCAGAGCAAAAAGAGTAAAATATACTACTCTTTTCATCCTAGAAAAAAATGTTAAAAGAAGGGGGCATAAACATTTTGTAAGTCTATGAAGCAAAACATTCCAAGGTCCAGATAGACTGAATTAAATGAAAAAATTTTTTTAAACTTTAAGTAGTGATCTTTTTTATTTTTTAAAAAGATTTTATTTATTTATTTTTAGAGAGGGAAGGGGGAGGGAGGGGGAAGAGAGAGAGACAGAGACAGAGACAGAGAAGACAGAGAGAAACATCAATGTGCGGTTGCTGGGGGCTATGGCCTGCAACCTAGGTATGTGCCCTGACTGGGAATTGAACCTGCGATGCCTGATTCACAGCCCTCGCTCAATCCACTGAGCTATGCCAGCCAGGGCTATATGAAATTTTTGAACAAACCAAACAATATATACACACTCTGAATGGGAAAGAATGAAAAAAGAGTAGGAGCAAAACAGACACTTACCCCCTTTTGTAGTATCATTCTGGGCCTGGATGCCATGATGCAATGAGTTATGAATGGCAGAAAGAAGATCTGCTGCTTGAACCATCAATTTTTGAGCTTCTGCAACAGCACTGGTCTAGCAAATAAATCACCAAAAACATTCTTACATATTCTTTCACTGAAAGATATATATTAAATAGGAAAATCCTATAAACAATAATGAAATTAAATGTTTGTTGTAATGTCACTGGTTTTCACAAACTATTCACTTAATACAGGATGTCCAGATCCTGTTAGAATAGAAATCATTACTTTTTTAGCCATATCCATATTTTGTAGGAGCCATTAAAAAAATTTTAAAAACTTCTATTCTATTAATCTTTTGTTTAAAAAAGAGAGATGCAGCCAACTGGAAAATAGCAACATTTCTACTTTGTCATTCATCAAAGTGAAACAAACAAACACAAAATGAGGAAAAAAAAGTATAGGAGTTAGAACAATGGTAAAAGTTGACTCTTTAGTCACCACTTATTAACTATTCAAAAATTCATCTGTAACTGAGATACACACACACACACACACACACACACAATTTACCATCTAGGACTTACTTTGGGATCTACACAAATCTAACAGTTATTATTTCTTGAATGAAAGAAAATATCCTAAAATTTTCATTGTTACTTTCTGCTTTCAATTCACAACATATAACTACCTAATTTTTATAACAATGACATATATGCATGTTATGGAGCAGAATGTAAAATTTATAAGACTTTTTGAGAAAATCATCAGGGCTACTCTGATGTAAACACACCAAATGTTGAGTGCTGTCTATGTGCAACTGGGCACATTTTAATGGAAAAGTCTCAGAACCACTTCGATAAAGAATTCCATCTAAAAGAAAACAAAAAAGCTCCCACTAAAACAGAAAGATTACAGTAAATGTCCTTACCTCCTTCTTAGTAAAGGCAATAAGCACTGTCAGTAACACTCGAGTAAATTTCACTCTGCTGAATACTGCTAAACACTGTTGGTGCTAAAAAAATAAAGAACTGAAAGTTAAAAAAGATGCAAAGTATGCCAAAATAATTTCTTTTGAAAATACAGTATTTTAAGTTTGAAATCTCACTATACAACTTACTACATTACAAACACCTTCACTCAGGTTTTACATATCTGAAAACAAGAGATTCAGCAAAATATAACAAAGCCTACTCTACTGAAGTAGAAACATAAAGCTTCTATAGCAACAAGGCTGATTTTTCCCTAAGAGAAAAGTTACACTATCATCTCTAAAACAAATACAATCAGTATTTTAAAAAGGACTGTTAAAAAAGTACTTTAAGCTGAGTTAGAAAATTTAGGATCTCAACAAAGGATTGTCAACTTTTGATTCTATGCAAGTTCTTGATATTTGCCAAGCTCTGATGTACCATTTGTAAAAAGTCATTTTTTCTTCCTACCTCATAGGAATACTGAAGATTCAGCACTGAAATCATGTATTTGAAAGAGCTGTATTATTATTCTATCAAAATTAATACAAGGGAAATAAAATCCCTTGCAATGTCCAATTTTTAAAGAAATACCTTAAAAAGGGCTTCCATAAATTATAACGCAGTTCATAAAACTACAACATTAAGAGGCAGACTTCTCTGATATTATCTACCAGAAAATAAGTTCAATTACTTCTAGTTCAACTTCTGGATCTCTTTCTTCTCCTTGTCGACTTCGAGTACTCTAAAATTTTAAAAAATGTGAATTAAAACAAACACAAGACTGTAGAAGCATTAAATCATAAATTTATAAAGAAAAGCACCTAATTAATTTATTGTAAGAATCTATTTGTAAGAAAAATGTCTGAAAGGGAAAAGAAGTTGTATTTAGTATTTCCCTCAATAGGAAATATTACTATATACAGAAAGTTAATCTTCATATAAATTACAAAAATCACACAAAAAAGTAAGGTATTAAAAGCAGCAAAAGCAAACACAAAAATAACATAAGTAAAAGCACATGGCACATGGCATTTCTTTCTTTTAAAAAGATCTACTCATTGAAATTCCTGATGTTTTTAAAACTAATAATCCTACCAGGAAAAAAGTAATCTTTACAAAATCACATAATAAGAATTAAGTCACATAATAAATACTGATCTGTTCTGCACTAAAAAGCAAGACACCTTGTTAATACACAACTAATATACGGTTGACTGTTTTGACAAAATTCTAGGAAGATATAGTAGAAGAGCTGGGTTCTAGCACTGGAACAGCACTGGCTAGCGGCAGGCCCTTAAGTAAGACTCAAACAGGTTACTAAACTTCTTTGAGCTGTATTTTGCTCACCTAAATGTGGGGCACTGTGTGTATTTTACTGTCTAATTCAATGAATAATTGTAAATATCAAATAAGACAACAATGTAAAACTGCTCTGACAATGGTGCTGTGTTATACAACTAAAAAAATAGTAGATATATGAACTTTTTTCCTTTTTTAATCTCTTTGGGAACCAACCAAATCATCAGGGGCATTTGGCTGAAGGACGTCATTCATAGAAGGCATTTACCAGATTTGGGATACCACCATTTACTGAGCTTTTCCATTGTTTTGTAGACACTCTACTAGCTATTAAAGCTACAAAGATGATGACAGTCCTTACTTCTGAGTAACTTAACAACTCCATGGTATTATGCTACTCTTAAAATAGCATACAAAAATGCTAAAACACTGGCCTTAAATTAAAAAACTGAGGGTTAAATTTCTAATACTTTTAAGTGACATTAACTTGTCAGTAGCTCCTATAACAGCCTCAAACTCATTACCAAAAAGGCACAGCATACACAAAGGAAGTTGAAGGTCCTACCTACATTAGCTATTTATACTTAGTTAAAGTTAACCTGCCATTTAGAAGAAAACAAAAATCCTATACAAAAGAGAAAAAATGTATATATACCTTTACTCTTCTTTGCATGTCATCCTCCACATCCTTTAGCATGCCTAGAAAGAGAGACAGTGAGGTGAAAAGGAAACAAATCCAAACATTAAACTTGTGAACTACCTTTATAAATAATATTACCTGTAACTCGAAGATCTGTGACACTGTTAGCCATTTTAAATCCATAAGTCATTGACTGAAAATCTTCCTAAAGAGAAAAGGAATAATTAGGTCCTTGAGTAGTAGCAAAACCTTTCCTTATATTTCTCTTATAAAATCACTATTTGCTAATAAGAAAACAGTAGTGGAAAGTCAGCCTGCTTGTCCAAATATTGCTATCCAGCATCCAAGCTTTCCTTATCGCTGTACCCTTAAACACCATATTCTAATACTCTGTGCCCATAATTTCAATTGCTTGTCCTTAGACAATGCTTATGATAATATCACAAGGTAATTCCCACTTACGAAGTATTCTCACATTCACAGGTGAACAGTAAATACATAGTAATTACTGTTTGATTCAAAGACTGCAAAATTTAAATAAGGCTCTTACTTCAAAAATGAATAAATGCCTATTCCACTGTGAGGATGCAAAGGTTAAACCTTCTCAAACAGAACTACTCAAAGTAAGAACAAAACCACATTCCCACTTCAGCCCCATTCTGAAAAAAAATTATTCACAACCGGATTCCCACCCTCAAAATCATTTAAAACACTACTGAGAAATTAACAAATTAAGTGGCTTGCTGACTTGCATTGAAGACTATTGATTTAAAATCATCTGGATGATTTGGTTATGGCAGAAGCTCTAGTTAAGGAGTGTTTCTGTCATATTACAATTCTTATAAAAAAATATATAAAAGCCTACCATAATGGACTAAGAGGTCTTTACAGCAGTGGCCAGGACTGTAGCAAAATTTCTGAATTCTTAATAAACACATCAGTGACCATGCAATGCATACCAGGTATTACTATCTTACAAACAGAAAGACAACAAACATAGATTATGTCTCTGGTCTCAAAGAACTAGGTGTGTTACAGAGCTATAAGGTTATCCTCTAGGTGAAGTTTATACTCTATCTCTACTTGAACACCAAACAGGATTCTCAAATTTTGTGTCTAAGAAAGTATATTCTCCTAGTGTTTACCACACTGCTATGGCACCTCCATCTACCCAGTTACTCTGAATAAAAGCTTGCACTTCAAGTTTTCTCATTTTCTCACAGCCCATATCAGATCAATCAGAAAACCCTGTAGATTCTATCTTCAATTTCTAATCTAAATATCTCATTCCTTTCACAGCTGTCTCTATTTTGAGTCACTACCATCTCTCACTCCCGTAACTGTCTCCAGATAGGCCCCAACATTCCCATGTGCCCCTGCTACATTTGCTACCATAAGTCAAAAGGATTATTTTAAAATAAGTCATTTTACAGCACTTTTTTAAAAAATACATTTTATTGATTATGCTATTACAAGTGTCCCATTTTCCTCACTTCAGTCCCCTCCACCCTGAACACCCCATCCCACCCACATTCCCCCCCTTTAGTTCATGCCCATTTGACATACATATAAGTTCTCTGGCTTTTATATTTCCCATACTATTCTTACCCTCCCCCTGTCTATTTTCTACCTACCATTTATGCTACTTATTCTCTGTAACTTTTCCCCCTCTCTCCCCATCCCGCTCCCCCACTGATAACCTTCCATGTGATCTCCATTTCTGTGGTTCTGTTCCTGTTCTGGTTGTTTGCTTAGTTTTTGTTTTTGTTTTAGGTGTGGTTGTTAATAATTGTGAGTTTGCTGTCATTTTATTGTACATGTTTTTTATCTTCTTCTTCTTAGATAAGTTCCTTTAACATTTCATAGAATAAGGGCTTGGTGATGATGAACTCTTTTAACCTGACATTATCTGAGAAGCACTTTATCTGTCCTTCCATTCCAAATGAAAGCTTTGCTGGATAGAGTCATCTTGGATGTAGGTCCTTGCCTTTCATGACTTGGAATACTTCTTTCCAGCCCCTTCTTGCCTACAAGGTCTCTTTTGAGAAATCAGCTGACAGTCTGATGGGAACTCCTTTGTAGGTAACTGCTTCCCTTTTTTCTTGCCGATTCTAGGATTCTCTGCTTAATTTTTATCTTGGCTAATGTAATTATGATGTGCCTTGGTGTATACTTCCTTAAGGCCAACTTCTTTGGGACTCTCTTGAGTTTCCTGGACTTCCTGAAAGTCTATTTCCTTTGCCAGATTGGGGAAGTTCTCCTTTATTATTTGTTCAAATAACTCTTCCACTTGTTGCCTTCCTCTTCCCCTTTTGGTATCCCTATAATTCAGATGTTGGAACATTTAAAGATGTCTTGGAGGTTCCTAAGCCTCTCCTATTTTTGAATTTTTGTTTCTTCATTTTTTTCTGGTTGGGTGTTTTTTTCCTTCTGCTCCACACCGTTGATTTGAGTCTTCAGTTTCCTTCCCATCATTACTGGTTCCCTGTACATTTTTCTTTATTTCACTTAGCGTAGCCTTCATTTTTTCATCTAATTTGCAACCAAATTCAACCACTTCTCTGAGCATCCTGATTATGTGTTTTGAACTATGCATCTGATAGGTTGGCTATCTCTTTGTTGCCTAGTTGTATTTTCTCTGGAGCTGTGATCTGTTCTTTCATTTGGGCCATTATTTTTTTTGGCTTGACGGGCCTGTTATGCCTGTTACGTAGTAGGAGGTGGAGCCTTAGGCATTCACTGGGGCGGGACAACCCTCGTAGCCAGGTTGTGACACTGTATGTGAGGCAGGGGTCCAAGAGGGAACAATGGCACTTGCTCCACTCTCTGCTGGCTCTCAGAGAGAAAGCCACTTCCCACAAGCAAACTGGGCCTTTGCGGTGCCGATTCCCAGGTGGGTGGGCTTGAGTACACTCTAGGACCCTGTGGGTCTCTCCAAGAACTCACCTGTGAGGCCAGGAGTCTCTCCCGGCTTCTCAACTCCCACAGGAGTTTTCAATCCGTGTTTTGAGGCTTTATTTCCCCGAGTTGGGACTCTGGGTTGTGCGGTCTGTCTCGCTCCACAGTTTCGCCTGATTTATCTGCCCACAAATGTGGGACCACCCGGTCCACCAGCTGCCATGTGTGCCTCGCCCCTCCATAATCCAGCCTCGCTGGGTCCACCCACTGCCGCTTTCCCACAAGCCCTCTCCACCCAGCCGCCCAACTCTGCCCCTCCTTCTGGTCTGGATGAATGTGTCTTCTTTAACTCCTTGGTTGTCGGACTTCCATACAGTTCGATTTTCTGTCAGTTTTGGTGTTTTTTGTTTTTAAATTGCTGTTGTCCTTCTTTTGGTTGTACAAGGAGGCACAGTGTGTCTACCTATGCCTCTGTCTTGGCTGGAAGCCCCATTTTACAGCACTTTCTAGTCAAAACCTAGTTTTTTTCCTCACAGGAAAACCCAAAAGCCCACCATGGCTGCTAAAACCATCCCACCATGGGGTCTGGTTTCCCTCCCCAATCTCATTTCCTACCCACCACTCTCCTCTATGTTCACTGTAAAGCACTCACACAGGCTTTTTTGTGTCTTTGAGACACATCAAACACATCTCCTCTCAGGACCTTTATACTTACTGACCCCCTCTCCAAAATTATTTTCTTCAAAAGAATTACAAAGTTCTATCCCCACTATATTCCAGTCTCTGTTCTAATGTCAATTCCTCATACAGATGTTTCCCCTTAGCATTCTCTCTAAAACAGCCTCCTCCCCTACTTTCTATACCTTTCCCGGCTTTAGTTTTCATAAAACTAATCACCACCTGACATTATATATATATATATTTGCTTACTTGCACACTGACTATCCAAAAGAATGCATAATCCATGAGATCAGGGCTTTGCTTTATTCATTATTTTATTCCAGGACTTAAGAATAGTGCTTGGTACAGAGTACTTTTCAAAATATATTCAGTGATGAATGATGACTCACCGTGGGGCCAGGGCCATAAATGTAAGCAGCCGGTAACCTTCCTGAGTACATCAGGCCAGTTACAAGATACCTTGGGGAATGGTGGAGACTGTAGCAAACCAAAGAATATCTACTTCATCTGAAGGAAGTCAACCACTAGCTACCCTATTGTGGCCATGAATCAATACAAGGCTAGTATGGTAAGGTATTGTAATTTTTCAGAACAAAAACCTAATTTAATGTAAAATCTTCCAATTTTTAAATGTTGCCCATTTTTGAAAAATTAAGTAGGCTAGCACTGTGATGATAACACACAAAAAACCACCTGTAGGCCCTATCTGTGAATTGTGAGTTTGCCAAGAGGAGTCTTAGGAAAAGCATTTGTCTGGGAGAATATCACAGGTCTGTGTAGTAAATACAAGGCTTGTAACAGGAACTTAACCCAAGTCATTGGAGGGCTGAAGCAGAGATGTTGGATAAAGAGAAGCTGGCATTAAAAGATCATTCTGAAAACTTTGTGGATTTAAGGACAAAAATCAAAGTGAAACCAGAAACTGACACAACACAACAATCCAAGCAGGAGATGGTGACAATTTGCGCTGAGATTGTAACTAAAGGTGAGAAGTGGCTGAAATCAGTATGTATCTAAAAAGTAAAGCCAACATGATGTGCCAAAGACCTGAATATGGGGTATAAGGTAAAATGTACAATTAAGAATCGTTTTTCAGTTTTTGGTCTGAACAACTGCTAAATGATTGAACCATTTAATGTGATGGGGTAGACTTGGGGAGGAACAGGATTAAAGGCAGAAATGGAGTAAAATGTTGGTTATATAAAGTTTGCAATTTCTTTGATCAACCAAGTGAAGATTTTGGGCAGTTACTTGCTTGAGCGGAAGTCAGGGGAGGAATCAGAACTAGAGATATAAATTTGGGTTTCATCAGCATACAGTTGGTATTAAAAGCCACAGAACTACAGGAAATATACAGAAGGAGAAGGTATAGAAAAGAGAGAAAGCCCAGCAGTATTTCAGTATCTAGAGAAACAAGCACAGGAAATGGAATAACCAGTGGGGAAGAAAAATCTAAGACAGAACTGTATCAGGAGACGAGAAGAAAGAGTATCACAGAGTGCTCAGCCAGGTCAAATGATGCTGACAGGTCAAAGAGAGCAGGGTGAGAACAATGGATTTAGTAAGATGGATATCATTAAGGACCTTGTTAGTACCAGTTTCTATGTAGTGGTAGAAAAGAATGTCCTGTTGAACAATGTCCAAGTGGGCGAGAAGAGACTGAAAAAGAGTAAAACGAATATGGGTTAACAGTCTACTTAAGGAGTTTTTTGTGTAGGGTAGCAGAGAAATGGGATTATAAATACAAAGAGCCATGGATCCAGGGAACTGGCATTTTCTTTTAAATAGAGTGATATTAGAACATGTTTATATGCCAGAAAGAACAATCTAGTAGTGAAGAAATACTCATAATGAAATACAAAGACAGGGTCAATAACTGCATTCGGTAAGAGGGAAGAGAATCTAGAACACAGGTGGAGGGGCTGAACTCAGAATGCCAGGAATACTTTTAAATTTCCACAAGAGAGAAGGCAGAGTATATGGGTATCAACACAGGTTAGCACTTGTGATAGGGAGAAGATGGTGTACTTCTAATATGTATGATTCCATCTAATATTTCATTAAGGTACAAAGCAAACTAATAGAGAGAAGAGCTGGCATTAGAGACTTGAGGAGAAAAGATATGGAAAAGTCACCTCAGAGGCTGGAAAAGCAAGTTCACCACAGCAAGTTATAGAGTAGGACTGTCGCTAAGTGCCCACCTGAGGTTTGCAGTCCTAAAATTAAAGTGAGAACAGACACACAGATAAGAATTTTATGTAGCAGCCTTCTGCTGTTTGGGTACAAGCCGTGAGTAGGCAGATGGTTGGGGGCCTTGCCAGAAAAGTGACACATGATGAAATGAAAGGGGCAAGGGAGTTTTAGAGTGACTTTGGCACTGTATCAAGGAAATGAGGGCATAAGGCAGAGTTACAGAGAAAAAGAAAGCAACCGCATCCATAAATCGAAGGTCTGTATAGAAGTAAAGGATAGCAGGAGTAAGAGAATCAGAGTAAATAAAGTGATAGCACTTAAAAAGCAATATGCTTGAATCAAGACTCTGGAGGTGAGTAGATTAGTACGGGTAACCACACCATTATTATTCAAACTGGTGTACTCCAGAGTAGAAAAGGATGCTATTAATAATCACACCAGGACAAAAGGTGTCAAGCTGAACTGTTCCATGCAAACCAGTATGTACAGATACCAGCTATAACAGAAAGATGTGCTAAGGAAGGGGCAGAGAAGAAAACTAATGTATGTCTGGTTAAGTCAGAAGAGTGGGATACAAATTTAAAGATAAGTAGGACTTTTCCCTAAAAAGGTAAGTAAGAGAGAAAAGGCATAAGGAGAACCAGGGGGAAATGTATCTAAGGGGAAGAATCAAAGAAATGCAGTGTTGCTGGCTTTAAAGATGGAGTCACAAGCTAAGGAATGGTGGAGGCTTCCAGAAGCTGCAGAAGGCAAGAAAGCAGTCCCTTTCCTAGAGCCTCTGGAAAAGGGCACAGCCCTCCAGTTCCCTGATTTTTGCCCCATGAGATCTGTGTGGGACTTCTGACCTCCAAAGTGCTTCCTCTGCAACCATGTCTGAAAAACCCGATATGGCTGAGATTGAGAAATTCAGTAGGTCGAAATTGAAGACAGAAATGCAGGAGAAAAACCCACTGCCTTCAAAAGAAATGACTGAACAGAAGAAGCAAGCAGGCAAATTGTAGTGAGGGCCCCCACTGCCAACATGCACTGTACACTCCACAAGTATTGCCTTCTAAATTTACTTCTTTTAGCTGTTTAACTTTGTAAGATGCAAAGAGGATGATGGATCAGTTTAAATGACTGTGCTGCCTCTTTTCACATCAGAGAACTACTGACAAGGCTGTACCTGCCTCTCCCATCTGCCTCTCTGGCTGGCAGGGAAGGAAGAGAACTTGCATGTTGGCGAAGGAAGAAGCTGGGTGGGATGACAGTGAAATCTAGAGTAAAAACCAAGCTGTTCCAAGGTGTCCTGCAGGCTGTAAAATGCAGTTTAATCAGAGTGCCATTTTTGTTCGTTAAAATGATTTTAATTATTGGAATGCACAATTTTTAATGTGTAAAAAGTTTTAAAACCTGGAAAAAGAGAGAGAAAAAAGGCCTAAGAGCCAGAAAGAATCCTGTGCACTAGCATGAAATAATGAAAGACAATAATATACCCAGAATCAGCTGAACAATATGCCAAGGAGGAAAACAAAAATTTGTATGAGAAAGAAAATGTAGGAATATACTACTCTGGCTCATCTGTCATTAATATTTATACAATCACAGTGTCAGAAACGAGTAATGACTTAACCAAAAACTGAAGGACTATTGGGGTAGGAGAGGGGGTAATGTATGAATGCTAAATACTTGGTAAAGATGTGCTGATACACACACCATAGTTAAAACCTGTTAAATTCTTAAATTCAGAAATTAGAATATAAACCTATTATCTAGGAATATGAAAATAAGTAGCAGAAAAAAGCTAGAAGATTATGGTAATAGTGTCAACAATAAAAATAAAGTTAAAAAGAAAAAAGAAAAAGAGGTCCTTGCTGGTGTGGCTTAGTGGACTGAGAGCTGGCCTGTGAACTGAAATGTTGCCAGTTTGATTCCTGATTCAGGGCACATGCCTGGGTTGCAAGCCAGGTCTTCAGTTCCAGGTGTGTGCGAGGCAACAAACAGATCAATGTATCGCTCACACATTGATCTTTCTCTTCCTCTTTCCCTTCCTTCTCATCTGTCTAAAATAAATAAACACAATCTCAAAAAAAAAAACAACTCCTTCTTAATAGCATCATTACACTCAAACTGCATATGTATCAAGTGACCTTATGTTAAATGATCTTATAACACAAAAGTAGAGAGTGAAGGGACACTTGGAAGTGATGGATGTGTTAATGGTATTGACTGCGGTGATGGTTTCATGGTGGGTACTTATCTCCAAACTCATCAAATCTTAAACATTAAATATGTACAGCTTTTTATAAAAAGCTAAAAGAACTGAGTGTTAATACAGAATAAATAAGAACAGAGAATCACAAATAAACTCACGGGCTATTTGACTATGTACAAGTATTATCACTTCTATTAAAACACATACCCCAGGGAAAATTTTTAAATAGCAAGATTGAACATGACCAGATTACCTATTTTCAAGATGGTCAAGTGGAGAATGAACTAGAAGGAAAGACTGGGCCAGAAAGAAGAGTTCTGCCTACACTTAAAGCTAACAAAGGCATGAACTAAAGCAGGAACAATGAGAGAGAAGAGTGACCAGATTCAAGATAAAAATAAAATAACCTTGATGTGGAAGGTTAAAAAAATAAGTAATCAAAGATAATATTCTAGATACCATCTTTGCAAGACAGATTGCAAAAGGACAAGCGGTGAAAGGGGTGAAATTACAGTTACCATTTTAAATGTGTGAGCAAGATATTAAGAATGAAACCTCTTTAGGCAGCTGAAAATGTATCCACTTCAGGAGTTAAAACAAAGCAGGGACATAGTTGAGAACAAAATAAACCAGCACTTAGGAACTTCAGAAGCACCCATTTCAAAGAAATGATTATGTCATTCTCATCTACTCATTATCATATCTCTTAAGGACTTTTACTAAGTAATCGATTTTTTCCTTATTTATAAAACTGAGACAAATTTATCTGGAAAATCAGCAAAGTTTAGAGGAAAACAATAACCATTCATATCATACACACACAGCATATGAGTGTTTTCCCATCCTCAACATGGTGTACTATAAAAAACATTTAACCTTTGCCCATAAGGGGTAAATAACGGTATCTCACACTTTTAATTTGCAATTCTGTTTAGTAAGGTTAGTTATCTTATGTTTAAAAACTATTTTGCAAACTATCTTCTGATTTTAAAACAATATTGATTTTAGAGAGAGGAAGGGAAAGAGAGAAAGAGAGAAAAAGAGAGCGTCGGGGCGGGGACAGAAAAAAACTATGTGAGAGAGAAATATTGACTGGTTGCCTCTGGTACACCCCAACTGAGTATCTGACTGGCAAGCAAGGCATGTACCCTGACTGGAATCGGACCAGCCACCTTCGGCTCACGGAATGATGCTCCAACCAACTAAGCCATGTGGCCAGGACAACTATTTTCTGATATAAAAAAAAATTTAACACTTAAAATATTTCATCTATATGCAATTTATTTTGCTGTTAACCAACCCCTTCCCTCCCCAAAACACCCTAATTCATATGTTAGGTCCTCAAGCCCAAAGTGATGGTATTTGGATACAGGGCCTTTGGAAGGTGATTAGGTCACAAGGGCAGAGACGTCATACGTGAGATTACTGTCATTATAAGAGGAACCCCAGAGAGAGTTCCCTCTACCCTTCCACCACGTGTGGACACAGTGTAAAGACGGCCGTCTATGAACCAGGAAGCAGGCCTTCACTAGGCGATGATCTTGGACAACTTAGCCTCCAGAACAGTGAGAAATAAATTTCTGTTGTTTATAAGCCAACTAGTGTATGGTATTCTATTACAGCAGCCCAAAGGGACTAAGGCAGATGTAAAATAAGTTGATTTTCAAGGGTGATAATCAATTGTTCCAGTATGATTTGTTAAATGAATAATTTATCTGCCCTACTGATTTTTGATGTCCTTCGGGTGTACTTTGAGAATGTAACTATTTAAAAAAATTTGTATTTCTCTTCTCACTTATTAACTTAATCTCTTAAAATATTCCACCTAATGCATTAGATTTTCCACAATGACACCCATGTCAATTCAAATATGTAGCTAAATAACCAATGAGTGTATAAAAAGTAAAGAGTATTTCATAAATAACTCACAAGCCATACATTTAAATGTAGACAATCATGCTGGGTATATATCTAATTATTCTCACACACATAACATTAATTTAGAAAAGTTTTACATTCTATACACTGGACCATTGTTGAAGTCTAAGATATTTATTTTGGGTCAACAGCAATGTTAAAAAGAAACTACCAGTTTCAACAAAAGGAAGAATTACATTATCACTTATCAATAACCTCAAATGCTATCACATTTCCCCTTAAAATTACCAGCATCTGAAGCCTTGTTTCTATAAGGAGAAAAAAATCTATGTCTGTAACTCAGAACACTTCAACAGAATGTGGTGCTTAGTACTAACTAGAGGAAAATGTTCACACCCTAAACAGCAATTTTTAATCCGTTTGCCCCATGAATTTTTAAAACATACAATACCTGACTATTTAGTCAGGTACAGTGACCTCTTTTCCCATAGATTGTCAAATAAAAACATAGTAACAGCCAATATAACAAAAGTCATCTGGTGTGAATGAATCAAAATTATACCTATTTTATTGTTAGACCAGCAACAGATATATTTTTTGGTGTGCTGCAGAATTTTAGTAATTAGTTTGTGTGTGCCATGAGATGAAAAAAGTTGAAAATCGCTGCCCTAAAATATTCCTCATACCTTTGTTTTCTTTAGTTCCTGCTTATCCAAAGACTGAAAATAAAGCACTTCTGTATTTTAATTTGTAAGAGGCTTAGGGGCAGAGACTAGCTCTTCTATTTTCTTTGTGAATCCCTACAATATCCAGAACAAAGTCCTCTGCACATAATGGATACTCAGTGAATGGTACTGACAGAAAGAATATACAGTAAGATGAAAAGTCCTTTCTTACAGAGAAATGGATTACTTTAGCCAATATATAAATAGCAATGGCATCAACTTTAAAAACTGTTTTTAACTATACACGTTATAAAAATATGTATCATAAAATCATTTAAATATATCACAGTGAATAAGATGGTCAATGAGCTTCAGGAATTCTTATATTACAAGATCTTACCTCTTCAAAAACAGCAGCTTTATTTACTTTTTCCCTTGCAATGTCACAGATTTTCAAGATTCCCAGAGCAAAAGCTTTCATGGCAGGGTCTTCTATAAAGTCTGGATTATGAATGTAAAGGCACGTAAATACTGTCTGTGCCAAGGAGTGGCCTTCTAACCATGTTATCTATAAAAGAAATAAAAGAATGTATATGTTTAAGGTTACAAAGTCTGCAAAGTCTAAACTGATCCAATAGTCAAAGACCACAGTGCCACAGACCAAAATAAATATATTAATCATAAGATTTAAAAGGTGATTAAAGGGAAGGTCAGGAAAGACAAAAAAATTAGAATTCACTTTCACTGACTAAAGTCTTTCAAGAGCTGCATACCATAAATATGATTAGCTGAAAGCTATAAATATGGAAAGCAGTCTTATATATAATTCAGTTTGCAATATATCTGGAGACTAATGGAGTTAGAGTGCCTCTAAATACAGCACCCAAAAGCAATTAATTCCACATATAGTCAATAAAAATCCATAAACTAAGGAACTTACATTTTAGAATTAACTAGGTCCCTTGCCACTCATTTAACTCTTTTCATCCTTAAGACCCTAACCCAGTCGAGAGCATCATATCTCACTGAGACAACTGCAAGAAACTACATAATGGTTTTAGTGCCCCTGCCACCCATCTCTAATCCAATATACCCCCAACCAGAGGAATCTTTCGAAAACATAAAAATAATCATTCAACACTATTTTACTGTGTACTTACAATGGGCCAGGTACCAGGTGCTCAAAGCTGGTAATACCCATAGCAGCCCAAATTGAGTAACTATTATGTCCCAAGTGCTATGCTAGGTATTTTCATATATCTTATGTCCTTTTTCCTAACACTTTGAGGAGGGTTGTATTTTTCTCCTTTTATATGTAAAGAAACAAAGTCAGAGGGTGTAAATAGTTTTACCCAAGTTTATATAGTTAGATTTTACACTAAGTCCAAGAATTCTGCAATAGAGCAAGACACATAGCACTGCATTACAGAATAAGAAATGCACATGAAAATTACTACAATCATTGCATTTTTGTGTTACCAGTATGAAGACTTTCCAGGTGAAAAAACCCTCTAAAGGCCTAACTCTTAGAGACAGTTTCAAGAAGTATCATACAATGGTTGCTCAATTTTGGCAAAAACCCTCCTACTTCCCCCCCATCTGTCCTATTCCACTGGGATGGTAAGCTGATAAAGAGTAAGAAAGGTATCTTTGAGGGAAGGAGATAGCTTTGGAGGAAGACAGACCAGGATCAGGACTCCGGTTTTGCCCTTTCCTAGCAATGTAACCCTAGCAAATAAGATGAAACCATGTGTTGAACAGAGCTGACATAAGACCTAAGTGAAAAATACTCACATAAAACATCTAATAGAAGTACTTCACATACTGGCAACCAATACTTACTAAATGACCATATGAATAAAATTTACATAATTCTAAGGACAATGATTGAAAAAAATTTTTTTAAAAGGATGGTTAGGAATAGGCAAAAAAAGAAAAGAAAATAGGCAGTAAATGAAAATTTTGCCAAAATTAGCCAACATTGTTTAGGAAAGACAACTTATCCAGCATTTTCTCTGTCTTCAAAAACATGGGCAGTTTACTACAATTTACTACTAGATTAGAAAAATCTCTCTCCAAAGCCAATCCTTGTTTCAATTCCATGCTTATTTATGGGACTTCCACTTACAAATTTGCTTCCCTGGATACCTTGAAAACAAAAAGGGTATTTATGGTAATGGCTACACTATTATCTTCACTAGAAAGAAAATACCCCCTTCACCCAGAAAATGAGAACCTAAAATCACTGGATGACAAGAAAAAATGCTGTTTCCTATAGCATACTTGGCCTGTTAATCTTATTTACACCTTACTAGGTCAAGCATTACAGATATTTCATACTCAACATTAGTGTGTTTACTTTAAAATTTAAAGATACAGATAAGTAATAGTTTTAAAATTAACTATTAGTGTTACTTTAACTCTTACCAAACAGCAAAAACATGTATCCATTATCCCTATCAATTCCGGCAAGGTGAGGTCTTTAATTTTAATGGTACCATCCTAAAAAGGAAGGGAAATATAACATATAAAAAGATTTTTAAAATGTATATAAAGTAGCATTTTGCAAATGCTATATCAAATCCATACATTTTATCTTTCAAAAAGTATTTAAAAAGAACAATTCTAAGAAAACTCTATCTCATCATCGGATAAAAACTAAGAAGCCAAATTAACTCTGTATTCTTAAAAATATATTTAAAACAGGTCTTCGGTAAGAAAAATGAAAGTCCTTTCCATCTGAAACATAAAAAAGGCTTTATAAAGAAATAAAAAGCTAAACCAGCAAGTATTTTAAAAGCAAAGTTCAAATCAGTTTCAAGCATTAATAAATATGAATCATTTTAATGAATCAAAACTCACAGATGATAAAATAAACATTTTTAAAAACATTTCCCTTAAGATGGTTAATTATACTACCTGTAAATTTTGTTTAAAATATCTACTTACTCAGCAAATCTTTCTCCATAAAATATGCAAAATTTAACTCTGTGGCAACTATGAATGTGTTTCTAAATCAATTCTTAATGAGTAAACATCAAATCACTACCACAAGAATTTTACTTAATATATTAATAGGTAAAATTTAATCCCTAAGCTAATTACTCTGGTATTTGAATATATACTCAGATGCTTTCAAAGATCAATTTTAAAAATATACACACACAAATTTAGAGCAAACTTTTATTGAAGACCTTAAATAAATAATTTTCAGATTTCAATAGAGATACGTAACTAAAGGTTGTAACTAATTCTTATTTATATATTTGAGGTACTTTTAGAAAAGTACACTTTAAGTTAATATGCTAAGTTGCATTTCCATCAGTAATCAGAACATCTTAAAATATGAATAACAAACAGCCCTGGCTGATGTGGCTCAGTGGACTGAGCACTGGCCTGTGGAACAAACAGCCATTGGTTTGATAGTCAGGGCAAATGCCTGGGTTGCAGGCCAGGGTCCCCAGTAGGGGGCGCTTGAGAGGCAACCACACACTGATGTTTTGCTCCCTCCCTTCCCCTCTGTCTAAAAATAAATAAATACAATCTTAAAAAAATATATGAATAACAAACAATAAAAGAAAACACAAAAAGCACAATGGTGACTACCTTGATGGCTTGTTCAAAATTGAGAACTTTTCGATTAACTTGGTTTCCAATCATGCCAGCATCCATCTTGGGATCCATCATTTCAATGGCAGACATGGCTTCAAAAAGACCAAATCTGCAAATAAAAAAATTGACCCCATAAATTGTTTCTGAACTAGTAAACTTACCCAGATTCCCACAATGGTATAAAATTGTAACACTTTAAATAACTACAGTATTCTATGTATTTAAGTTTTTTTAACTTGCTTACACTTCTACTTCAATTAAATAACCTTCCTTCAACACAAAAATTCTTTCATGTACTTGTCACTAAAATTACTCAAGGAAAGGACCATAAGTCACAGTTTCACTGATAGAAACATTTCACATCATAATTAGGGGTCAGTTGCCCCAAAACAGCTCACCAAGGTGAAAAATATATTTATAATTAGTTTTATTTTTATAGCTTTGAATATAAAAGTACTCAGGCTTCAAGGAACACTACTGCACATGAGAAAAAACTGATGGAAATATCATACCACACTATTTCAAAGGACACAAATACTTACAGCTTATCATGAAGTAGTTCTCCCAACTTTAATTCTAAAAGAAACAAAGAGAAAAATCCTTTGATAATACCATATTTAACTTCTTATGCTCAGAAAAAAGACAAGCAATATTTTATCACCTGAAAAATGCACATGTATTACTTTAAACTTAATTTTCTAAGATACGGTTGTAATATTGCTACTCAATTACAAACACAATGTCTTCTACACAGTGAATATTTGGATATTAACCAGAAACTAAACTTTTAAGAGTAAATGCCCCATCAAGGGCCAAAATAACCCAATTACAATTAATTACCAATCTCATTTTCAAAAATCACTAGTATTTCCTTGAAATAAACTTTTTCATAAAACTGATTACTACTTCTGAAGTTGTTTAGGAATCAGCTGTTCTCAATCTAATCTCTTCTGTCCCAGGAACAGTGTTAAAACTATTTTCTTAAATTACTTTTTATTTAAATAATATAGAAAACACTTGCATAGACAGCTAATCAAAATGGTGTTCATTCCTTTAAAGCAGTTTTCAACCATAGCTGCATATTAGTATCATCTGGGAAGATTATGAAAATTTCAAAGTCCAAGCAGCACCCCAAACCAACTATGGGTGGGGTTTATGCAATAGTGTTGTTAAAGTACTCCAGGTGATTTCAATGAGCAAGTACGGTGGGAACCACTACCATTTTAAGTAGCTTAAATACTGATGGCCAAGTCCTGTATAAACAGGCAGTTTTCAGAACTTCGTAGCTAATCCTCTCTTAAGTAACAGTAATCCTCTTACATCATCATAAGTTAAATTAATAGTAATTTTTAACAGTTTCATGTACCAAAACAGATAAATCAATGAGAGGCATGTATCAATTTACTACAATAAAACATATGTAAAAGAACACAACTGCAGTTCTCAAAGATGGTCTGGGAACCTAAAAGTCTGTGATGTTAAAATTATTTTCATAATAATACTAAAACATGCTCTTTTTCATTGTGCTGACATCTGCACAGATAATGCAAAAGCAATGATGTGAAGGGCGGGGGGGCGGGAAGCAATGCTGAGCAAAATTGTTGTAGCTTCAGCACAAAATCAAGATAGTGACCCCAAGCTAAAGAGTGAATTTTTCAACTCCATGTACTTGCAGCTAAAAAAGCAAAATTTTTAAAAAGATTGCACTCAAGAAATCCTTGATGAAACAGTAAAAACTATTAATTTCAGAAGCAGGACTAAGATTCCACAAGGCACCAAGTGTACAAAATTTAACAAGACACTTGCTTTCCGTAGTGCCTTCAATTCTGCACTCTAGGTACCCTGCTTGGTTCACACTAGTGCAGGCCCTTGATTAGGGCATTAAATCTCAATCTTTTGAATACACGTCTTTTTAATATTCTATTTGACAAAATGGAAAGTATATATTAATACTTCCAGTGCATACTAGTGTAACAGGCTATCTCAAGGAAAAGTACTTGCACAATTTATCACAGAACACCATTTTTACTCGAAAGAACTAACAAACTATAGGTATTCAGACTTAAGAGTATGACATTTTCTTGAAGCAAGTAAGTTTATTGTTCTACGGGAAAATACCTGACATTTGTTGCCAATAATAAAATTCAAGCTTTCAAGCAAAAATTAACATTTTGGAAAATGTTTAATTTGCCACTGTAAGCTTGACAGTTTCCCAATACTTATACTTTTCTGATGATATTGTTGGTGATATTAACAAATGTGCTTTTTAATATTGTATAGTGAAGTGAGTCAACATTCAGAGGTTCTGCTTAACTCAGTGAACCAGTATTTTGCAAACAGCAATGCATGTTACAAAACTAGGCATGGATAAAAGATCCATTCAAAGTTCAAGACATACCAATGGATTTTAATGTAATAGAACATGAAAAATACATTGATAGAGCTTCAGATTCCACATAATGAATCTTTAAGAAACTACCACCTTTAAAGACAATTCAAAGGTGAATATTCACAATTATCTAAAAAGTGTAATCCATCTTTCAACTATGTATTTGGTGAGGTTAGATTTATGTCATATATTTCAACCAAAACAACCTGTGGTAACCAGTTTAATACAGAAGATGACATGGAATTCAGGTGCCCATTATGCCAACATTAAAGAGATTTTCAAAAATATAAAACTCCCCTCTTTTAAGTTATTTTTTGTTTTGGAAAATACACTGATTTTTCATTAGAAAAGTGTTATGTTAACATGCAATGAGTTTATTATCATTTTCAAATGGATTAATAAGTATTTTTAAATTTCTCCATTTTAAATTCTAATACAGTAAATATGTATACATAACACACAAATAATAATTAAGAGTGTAAGAGTATAATTTTTAAGAATATATGGGGTCCTGAAGCCAAAAGAATTAATTAATAACTGCTATAATAATCTATCATATACTTAGGATATATTTGGGTACCAAATAGCTTCATCAAAGTTTAAAATAAAACACTACACAGACCTAGGAGCAAGTTGGTCACTCTCTGACTTGGTTTCCTCATCAGTAAAATGAGAGGTTGAACTAGATGACTCTCATAAGGCCATACAGTAATCAGTTCACTCACTAGTAAACTACAGGCAGTAAACTTTAAAATTTATTCACTAAGCAAGCAGAGTATCAGCACTCTCACTGCATGGCCAATGACTGGACACAGGATCACGATCTTTTATAGCACTACAGACATAAGTCACTTGGGTGTTGTCCAGCTAGGTAGCAGTTCTCCAAAAATTTAGTGAGAAGGATAATGTTTTATATTTATCATTAGCAGACAGGGCAATGACATCATCACACATCACGAAGTCTCAAAAATTCCACTGTAAGCTAATAAGAGAACATGAGTCAAAAAGGTAAGTCAATGTCTTATTATTACCATGAAAATAGTTTTGACCTAGCATACCCCAGTGAAAGTCTTGGAGATCCCACGGATAATGGATCACACCAAACCATTAAACTAAGTTAACACAATGATTTTTTTTAAGTCACTTGTACTTTTAAGTTTAAGCCTTAAGTAGATGCAACAGTATATAGCTAAACCACTCAGACCAAAGGAAATTAAGATACAAAAATTTTTGGACAATCTTGATAATAAACCACCTTTAATTTTATCCTCACTCCCTTGAAAAGCACAAATAGAAATGTTATGAGAGACAATTTAACTTAATTTTGTCAATTACAGAATTCGATGACATCTTACTAAGAACACACTTCCATTTGCCTTGGAAGTAAACAATGAATCATAACTTGTGGCTGGAGTCTGGGTATGCAGCAATGCTGAGCACCTGAAGCATATGACCTTTCTTTCCCCTGAAGAAACCAAGACAGAAAACATGCAACAATACAAACACATTTTACCTTCTCTTAAATGAATAGATTTGAAGATGGATGCATAGGTAGGAATGCTTCACTTCCTTGCACAACCAATAGTAAGATAACAACCAATTTAAAAACAATAAACAATCAGAACTGCCGGAATATCAAACTTCATGGAACTCGAACAACCAAGGAGTTAAAGAAACATTCATCCAGGCCAGTAGGAGGGGCAGAGGTGGGTAGCCAGGCAGGCAGATGGCGTGGGTGAGGAGGGATGGCTGACTGGAAACTAAAGACTCAAAACCTCTAGCTGTAAAATACTGTGGGGGTTGCTGCAGTGGGAGAAGCTCCTAGTTTCACACAACAGAGTTCATTGGAAAGTGGGGCCAGAGAAGAGTAAGTGAGCAGCGCTGTTCCCAGTGATGACTCCCCCAAAGACAGCCCCACAACACAGCAAAGAGGGTTGCCCCACCCTAGAGAATACCTAAGGTTCTGCCCACTTACAACATAACAGGTGTGCCAAGACAAATATGGCCCAAACGAAAGAACAGGTCAAAACTCCAGAAAAAGAGCTAAGCGATGAGGAGATAGACAACCTATCTGATGCAGAGTTCAAAAACACTGGTAATCAAGATGCTTACAGAATTGATTGAGTTCGGTCGCAAAATGAAGGAAGAAATGTAGTCTACACAAAGTGAAATAAAGGAAAATATACAGGGAACAAAGAATGAAGGGGAGAAAACTGGGACTCAAATCAACGATACAGAACAACAAGAAGAAAGAAATATCCAACCAGAACAGAATGAAGAAACAAGAATTCGAAAATATGAGGAGAGGCTTAGGAACCTCTGGGACAACTTTTAACACTCCAATGTTTGAATCATAAGGGTGTCAGAAGGAGAAGAAGAAGAGCAAGAAATTGAACACTTGTTTGAAAACACAATGAAAGAGAACTTTCCTAATTTGGCAAAGGAAACACTTCCAGGAAGCACAGAAAGTCCCAAAGAAATTGGACCCAAGGAGGAACACACCAAGGCACATCATCATTAAGCTACCCAAGATTAAAAATAAGGTGAGAATCCTAGAAGCAGCAAGAGGAGAGAGTTCCCTACAAAGGAGTTCTCATAAGACTATCAGCTGATTTCTCAAAAGAAACCTTGCAGGCAAGAAGGGGCTGGAAAGAAGTATGTGAAGTCATGAAAGGCAAGAACCTACATCCAAGATTACTCTAACCAGCAAAGCTTTCATTTAGAATGGAAGGGCAGATAAAGTGCTTCCCAGATAATGTCAAGTTAAAGGAGTTCATCATCACCAAGCCCTTATTATATGAAATGTTAAGGGGACTTATCTAAGAAATAGATCAAATACTACAAACAATAAAACTAACTCACAACTATCAACAACCAAACCTAAAAAGCAAAAACAAAAACTAAGCAAACAACTAGAATAGGAACAGAACCACAGAAATGAAGATCACATGGAGGGTTATCAGTGGGGAGGGAGAGAATGAGAGGGAAAGGTACAGGGAATAAGAAGCATAACTGGTAGGCATAAAATAGACAGGGGGAGGTTAAGAATGGTATAGGAAATGGAGAAGCCAAAGAACTTAAATGTACAACCCATGGGCATGAACTAAAGGGGGGTGATTGTAGAATGCTGGAGGGTGGGGTGGTGAAGGGTGGTGGAAGGATAAATGGGAGAAAAAAATTGGGACAACTGTAATAGCATAATCAATAAAATATACTACAAAAATAAATAAAATAAATGAGAAGATTATTTGTAAACTGGTATTAGAGATCTCTGAATAGATTTCTACATATAACATTATAAATGATGACAACATTCCCAGCTAGGATCTACTGAATCCATGATACAACTGAAATCCAATGTCATTGTATGTTTTTTTCTGTAAGATGGCTCTAGTAGTGCTTAACTGTCTTTAACTTCATAAGAAATCATTTTGTTAGACTGTACTGTGACAGCTGTTATGTCAGCCTGCATTTAAAAAAAACTTACATTGATGAATTTTTGCGCAGCCATTTTAAAATTAAAGATGGAAGAAAATCTGCAATATTTTTTGGCATATTATGCTTTATTATCTCAAAAAAGGTAAAAATGAAACTGAAACACACACAAAAAAGATTTGTGTAGTGTATGGAGAAAGTGCTGTGACTGATCGAATGTGTCAGAAGTGGTTTGAGAAGTTTCTTGGTACTATTAACATTCTGGCCAAATAATCCTTTGCTGTGGGGCTGTCTTATGCACTGGAAGCTGTTAGCAGCATCCCTGGCCTCTACCTACTAGAAGCCAATAGCAGGAGATAGCTGACATACTCAAAATATCCAAATCAATAAAGTTATTAGTGAAAATGAAACATGTCTTTTATTTTACATAAAAAATGCAATGGACTTTTTGGCCAACCTAATAGTAGTGATATTCAAACAAATCAGTTAACCCCTGGGTGAAGGTGGTCAACTGAGCACATGCAACTACTTTAAATTCCTTCCTGAAATCTCATTAAAACAACTAGAATTACTTTTCTAAAAAGAAGGGTATAAACTGAAAGGAACAAAAACAAGTGTAGAAATAATACAACAAAACTGGGGAAACCTGGAAACAGAAAGAAAGTAGTTCCCCCACAATGATCTAAAGTGATCCACAATTAATAGTGTATCCACAGTTAGGATGAGTGATCCACAACTAACCAGCTGCCTACCCAACACATGCCCCACCACTGAAAATATTCTTGATTTCCATGAAATGAGGAAAATGTAATTTTCATTTCTACAACCAAAATCACTTAAGAAATACTTTATAGGTTACCCAGATCTTTCACCAAAAAAATTTCTGTCCATCTTTTTCCTGTTAGAATAAAGTGCTAACCAATTGCAAATCCCTAAAACAATGATTCTCAAACTTCAGTTCATGGATAGGGATGGGCAACCAAAAAAAGCCCATGAAAGTTTTATCAAGAATCTACAAGCATACTTCTTCTATAATTGTTAAATACTATGTAATCAGTTCAATGATAATCTTTTAAAAAAATTACAGAAACATATTATAGACCAACTGGGTAACGTTATAACCAAGCATTGTTATAATTTCAGCGCCTGAGCTTACGTTCATAATTATGCTGGTTTTAAGCAGTCACTGAAAATGACAGCATTTAACGTAATGCTGTGATTCTCAAACTTCTGAAGTACGAGATTCAGATATTTTCCTGGTTTGAAGAAACATGGCCTTAGAATATTCATTTACTCTTAAAACAAATACATATTGAGTACCTATAAAAGTTCTGAGTGAGAGAAGGCAAAACAGAAAGGAAGAGAAAGAAAGAGCTTAAGCAACCTAGATTTTAAGAGAGAGAAAAGAAAGCAATAAAGGGTACTGGGTAAGAGCTGAAGAAACACGATGGAAAAAGAGGGTCTGAAACAACGGTACCTCTAATAAAGATGGACTGAAGAAGAATTAACTAAGCCATCAAGAGATAAGAAAATGGGATGAGAGATGGATCCATATCCTCCTAGACCAGAGCTTAAAAAGAATGAAAATAATGGTAGCCAAGCATAGGTTGTAGGCATCATCCTAGGAGAGCATGTGGAAGAAGGGAATCCGGCAGGCAGAAGAAGAAGGAGCAGTATTTCATGATTATTTATGTTTAAGTGAAATTTCTAAGATGTGGGTTTGTAATTCAGAAAGCACCTAAATATAGACAACCAAATGGAATATGAAGAACAGAGACTATTTTAGGCAAGATTTCCTAGAGAAACAAAGCTCAGAGTTGTTCTTTAGATTATTACATACCAGGCAAAACAACAGTGATGGCACCATACATTCAAAGTAATTTAGACAGAAAAGAAAAAAAAAAAAAAGAGCCTCAAGGTCAGTTATAGGAAATGTGGAGGGAATGCCTACCATCTGCCTAATAGAAAATAAAAGAAATGATGAAAGTCAGAATCTGATCCAAAGGATTTTGAAGAGTCACTAAAAGAGTAAGTAGAAATGTGCATGGAAAACATTGCCATCCATATGCAGATTATTTTACTGTACAAAAAAAGAAACAATCTACCAAAGTCTAGCCAAATACCATCATACTGTCACCAAACATGAGAAAACACTGTAATAGTTAAAGAAAAAGGATGTCATGATGTCTGTTTTAAACTTAGTTTTCAGAAAGTTGCTAGAACAGAAGTCTAAACTATAATCCAGGCAATAAATCTGATTATTTTAAAAGGGGAAAACAAAGTATTAATACCGTAGGCTTAAGACCTTCCAACAGCCTTTAGTACTAATCTACATGCAAATTATGTCCAGTGGACATAATTCTATGTCAATTTTTTAGTTTCAAGATGTATACCTCACATTTGTGCCACTTGAGCGAGTGCAAAAGCTAATTATGGAAGAATAGGATGGTTTAATTAATGTTGGCAACAAAATGACATACTACCTCCTCTCAGTCCACATGAAAGCAGGATTAACCAATATCTCCTGCTCTAAATTCCTTCCATGAAGAAGCAGAATTATTCACTGTTCCTCAAACATAAAAGCTTCATCTGGCTTTAATGGTTCATGTCAGTCTAGAATAATTCCCTCTTACATTCACTTAGAGAAACTCATTCACTCCTTCAAAGTCCAACTTAAGCCATATGCACTTCATAAAACCTCTCCCTTTTAGGTGCATAATGACAGCCCTCTAATACAGTTCACTTAAAATCAGTGCAAAATGATAGGCCTGATCCACTTAACAGCCTAAGATCTGCAGGCACAAAAACTACACTGTAACTTAAAGTTCTTTCTTTCTCCCTGAGGTAGACATATATGGGCAGTCACTCAACTCCCAGTCTAATGCTCTTTCCACTCTCTCTCTCAGGCATACTTTAATTGGACATGCATTTTAAAATAGTCGAAGGGTAAGCACATGATTTATCATTCTGCTTATAATTCAAATGCCTCCCTTTCCACCTGCAGATGCTCCAAGTTTTCATTCCTCTCCTTAAGAGCACTATTCTAAACACATGCCACCACACCATCACCAAAGACCACTAACAGAGAAGCCATCGAGGTGTGAATCCCTCCACCATTCCTCTCCATCCACTTAGAAACAAACCTGTATCTTCACCATCCCAACCTTATTTCCTCCTGGCTCAGTATGTCCCTGTTCTTCCCCACTCCGAGTTAATTTCTCTACCATGTTTTTGATCCAATCCTCTCAATGTTCAAGCTCTCATTCTATCTTTGTTACTTTCTGGTATCTTAAATCTCTCACCTCAGTAAGGCTCTTTCCCCTCAAACAAACAACATGCTCAGTTCTCCAATCATTTATGCCCAAACATTTATCAAACGTACTATATGTCAGGAAATGTTCTGTGTGCTAGGGTTACTGACAAGACCTCTACACTCACAGAGTTTATATTCCAGTGGGATAACGTGACAATAATAACTGAAAATGGTGATTTCTAACATTAGATAAGTGCTATGAAGTGAATAAAACAGGGTGATTCAACTGAGCAAGAGTTGGATAGAAGAGAAAGAAGGGGTGAGTTTGCGTAGATGGGAGGTTTTGACAAGTCCTCACTGGAGAAGTAACATTTAAGTGGTCAGGAAGGAGCCAGCTATGTGAAGAACTGAGGGCAAAGTAATTTAAGATATACAAAACGAAACATGCAAAGGAAGGGGGACCACCTTGGAATGTTTAATGAGCAGGACTTATAACTCACATAATGAGCTCAGTGGGGCAGTGGTACAAAAGTGAAGTTGAGCCCTGGCTAATGTGGCTCAGTTGGCTAGAGCACCGTCCAGTAGACCAAAAGGTTGTAGGTTCGATTCCAGGTCAGGGTGCAGGCCTAGGCTGCAGTTCCACCCCTGGTCAAGGGACGTACAAGAGGCAGCCAGTGGATCAATGTGTCTCTCCCTCTTTCTCCCTCCCTGCCCCTTTCTCTAAAATCAGTAAGAATGTCCTTGAGTAAGGATTAAAAAAAAAAAAAGTCTAAGTGGCAGGCAGGCACCAGATCATAAAGGCCATGGGGAAGAAGTTGGAATTTATTCTTTATGCAGCAGGAAGCCACTGGAGGATCTTAAGCAGGCAATGATATAATCTAATAATTTTCAAACTTCAAATAGACAATATTACTACTATCTCTAGGTCCACACAATCCCTGTTTCCACAGTTCAAAATTTTGCTATATATTCTCTTACCTTTACTTAAGAAGTTATAAAATTTTAATTTAAAAAATTGCCTCAGCATCAATATTTAATGATGATGTGTGTATATACATATGCTTTAAATGAAAGTTAAAAGTAGAAGATAATGAATAAATGTGGTTAACAAACTTAAATAAACCACACTCACCTACTGATTTGATTTATTGAAACAATGCAGAAATCATAATCAAGATTTTATTTTACCCTTTCTTAGATTCTGAACTTCTAATCCAAAAATTCAAACTCACCTCGACAAGCTTCTTCAAAATCTTGAGTTATGTCCACCCAGTTTGTATTGCTTTTTTCCATCTTTTCTGGTATACTGAGCTCCCATCCCGAATCATCGTCTTCTACAGAAGCTTTCATAACCATTATGCCTACAAAATTAATACTGGTTTAAAAGAGAGGATGTAGCTTTCAGGGCCAGCATATTTGCAACCATATGTATTTAAGAATTGAATGAAAATATGACTAAACTGTTAAGGCAGGGCTCTTCTGAGTTTGAGAGTAGTACTGAAAAAACATACCTTATTGTGAGATTTAACGCAATTAAATCTCACAATAATCAACACTGCTGCTGCTCATTTACTAATAGCCAGTCACCTACCAGAGCTCATAAAGAGTTTGCCCTCTCACTATTTAAGGAGAAAAATCACAAACCATTCATCCTACCACTGGCCCAAACAGAACCAACTCCAGAGCTTCCAACTTTCAACACAGGCTGTATAAGTGACCACCAAGGCATTCTACAGGATCCCCTCTCGCAACATTTCAAGTCAAGGTGGTTCCTCATTCTCCAGGACCTTGCTGGGCCAACCTCTACCTGGCCGACGGCACCAGGTAGCCTCGCCGAGATGCGTGGCGTGCGGGAGCACACGGTGGGGTCCCACCCTCCAGGCCCACAGCGAGGCCGCACCTGAGGCGGGAACCGCCCCGCCCCCCCTACAGGTCAACTCGACCCGGCCCCACAGGGCGCGAAAGCAAGGACAGAGCTACTGTGTGGCACGAGAGAGCGGGCATGCCTGGTACCGGGTCTCTGCTCCGGAACACCGGTCAAGGCTGAGGCCTGGGTGGGTAACGGGCACCCGGGAACCCGAAGCTCCTACCTGAAATGAGGCGGGAGGGCCGGGGCCGCAGGGTGACCTGCCGTCCCCAGGGTTTGCCACACAAGCAGGGACTGAAGCGCTCAAACAAGGGAGACAGGAAGTCTCAATGGCTCCTCACGGGCGAATCGTACCTACTACTCCAACGGCTACTCGCGCGGCCACGCACTGCCCAGACCGCGGAAATCACGAAGCCTCCTCTTCTGCCGCCGCTGTAGCAGCCGCTGCAGGCGCCGCCGCCCCCTACCCTCTGTGCTCAGCCTGACCGGCTGCTTGCGCGCATGCGTACGCCCGGTGCGCGCGACCCCGCCCCCTCTCCCACACTCTTAGGGTATCGTGATCTGCAGCCACACCCCTTCCCTCTCCACTGCCACCAGTCGGTCGAGTGCGGCCGTCTTTTTTTCTCGCGGGAGTAGAGCCAATCGCGAGACCGGAAGATACCTTTCCTCTCCGCCCTCGGGCCGAGTCCCTGGGTAGCGGGCAGGTCCTGGTAAGGGGCGGAGCCTAGGGCCGTCGAATCCGCACAGCCCCGCGCAGAGCCCTGGGAAATTCTTTAGAAAGGTGACGTGAAGGATCGAGGTTGTAATGTAAGTATGCCTATACCCCGGCCATTGCTGTATTAAATGAAGAGCCCAGCTTCTAGACTTCTACCGAGCTAGTGCTGCCTGACACCAGATTTAAGTGTTCAGGAGAGTGCCTGGGGGTTTCGTGAGGGAAAAGAGAAACAAAATATCTGCAGGGTCAAGCCAGCCATTTTCTTTCAAACTCATACATGTTTTAGAGTAAAAAAAAAAATATTAGTAAGAATAATGAGTTTTAAAGTGGGATAAAATAAGTAGACTAGTAAGAAACACATCTTTACCACCACATACCCACTAAAATTTAAGAAGATGCCAAATACCGATTAGGACGTGGAGCAACTAGACCTCTTATGATGCTGATAGTGATGCAAAATGGTTAAAACTACTTAGGAAAAGTTTGTCTTTTACAGTAAAGTTTATCATACACTTATATGATCCAGCAATTCTACTCCTATTTACTTATGAATACAAATATGTGTTTGTACATTAATTTTCATAGCCTTATTTGTAATTATCAAAAACTGGAAACAACGCAAATGTTCATTGAATGGTGAATGCATAAAAAACTCCGGGCATAGCCATATGATTTAATTAATAGTAATTATCAACAAAGAGGGATGAACTACTTGACATATAAAAACATGAATCTCAAAATAACGTTGAGCAAAGGAAGTCAGACTATGAGCAAAAGAGTATGATTACATTTATATGAAACTATAAAAAGACAAATCTAAACCACAGTGGTATAAAAGATCAGTGACTGCAGAGGTTGGGTGGGTGGGGGAGTGGGAGAAGAGTGTCAAGAAATGCTTAACTGGAATAGGGCTAGGTGATCTGAGGTAATGGAAATGTTCTGTATCTTGATTATGGTGATCATTAGTTATATGGGTTGATGTATGTGTAAAAATTCATTAAAATAAACACAATGTGTGTTTTATTGTTTGCAAGCCAAACTTCAATAAAGTTGATTTAAAAAAAAAAACAGAACACACCTTTACGTCTCTTACAGGATAATGTGTTTCCTTAAGGGCAGGAACTTTGCCTGTTTTAATTAAACTTGAATCCGTAGCATTTAGGGTAGTGTTTGCCATATAATATAATAGGCACTCACTAAATATTACACACTGAGGGTGAGAATGTGGGAAAGAATCACAATAAGACAGAAAGTTATATTTCTCCAAAACCATTTGGTAATCTTTACAGGGGCCACAAGAAATCTAGAAAAGAATGAACTGATTGCATTTAAGTAACTCAGTATTATGTATAGATTGTAACAAAAATGGGTGCCAAAAAACCCCACCAATTTTTGGAAAGAAAGAAATTACCAGAACAAAGCGGTCGAGTGAAATAAGGTTTTATTAATTTCTTCACTAAAATTATAATTTATTTGAAGTTCAAACTTATTTTTCTAGTTCTACTTACCTCTTCTGTATAAAAACAGTTTTTCTGAGAAACAGAGGTTAACTTATTTAACTTATCCTCATCCTATATGCTTGATAGCGTGGAAGAATGATGGGCATTGTAGACATTAGATACACTACATGATGAATGAATAAATGCAAAGGAACTAGTTAACAAAGAGTTGGTCCACCTTAAAAATCAGTAGTTACGGAGTTGATGGGCATTTTTGGAGATCAGGAAACTAATTCTTATTAGTCTAAATCTTGACTTATAAAATCCTAAGTATTCCTTGCTTAAACACTTCTATTGAGAGGAAATTTAGTTTGATGTCATCATATTAATTGATGTCAGGAACAAATATAGGAAGAGTTAGATAAAAGCAGAGCTGCTAAAGAAAAAATTTAAAAAATGGGACTACATGAAACTAAAAAGTTTTTGCATGGCAAAGGAAAACATCAACAAAATAAAAAGACAACCCACAGAATGGGAGAACATATTTGTTGATACATCTATAAGGGGTTAATATCCAAAATTTATAAAGAACTTACAAAACTCAACACCAGTTATAAAATGGGCAAAGGACCTGAATAGACACTTCTCCAAAGAGGACAACAGATGGCCAATAGACATATGAAAAGATGCTCAACGTCACTAATCATAAGAGAAATGCAAATTAAAACCACAATGAAATACCATCTCATACCTGTCAGAATGGTTATCATCAATAAATCAATAAACAAAAAGTGCTAGTGAGGATGTGGAGAAAGGAGAAGGAACTCTTGCACTGCTAGTGGGAATACACATTAGGTAGTCACTGGAAAGCAGATACATCAAAAAATTAAAAGTGGGTCTGCCTTTGGACCAAGCTATCCCACTTCTGGTAATGTATCTAAAGGAAGCCAAAACACTAATTCAAAAGAACATAAGCATAAGCACCCCTGTGCTCACTGCAGCATTATTTACAATAGTCAAGATATGTAAGCAGCCCAAGTGCCCATCAGTAGATGAGTGGATAAAACAACTATGGGCCATTTACACAATTAAATACTACTCAGCTGTAAAAAAGAAGAAAGTTTTACCCTTTGTGACAGTATGGATGAACCTGGAGAACGTTATGCTAAGTGAAATAAGGCAGTTAGAGAAAGACAAGTACCATATGATTTCACTTATATGTGGAATCTAATGAACAAACTGAACTAACAAGCAAAAATGGAAACAGACTCCTAGATAGAGAACAGGATGACAGCTAAGGGGGGTGGGGAAGTAAGGGAGTCGAGGGATTGAGCAAAAAAGAAAAATGACTCATGGACATGGACAGCAGGGTAGTGGTTGTGGGATATGGAAGAGTGTATAAGGGGACTAAATGGTAATGGGAAAAATACAATAACATTTTAAAAAAAAATAAAGGTCTGATTCTGTCATGTATATAAATAAGAAGCAGAGCTGCTTTTATAATTTGACTGTATTTAGTTTTACCACTGCATAAAGGAAATTAAGGGTGTCCCTAAAGGCTGCAGGCAATTCAGAGAAAGATGGCTTTCAGAAAAGGAAATGGAAAAAATAAAAATATCCTACTGTATCATGCAATAGAAACATGATACTATTTTTTATTAAGTACAGGCAATATCAGTTTAATTAGTTCAATTGTATTTACATTCTCTTTTTTAAAAATCTTACTTCATGCACCTGAAGAATACTCAGTAATCCCATAAAGTTATTAGAAAGTTAAACTTCTATACTAGGGAATAATATATAACTATCTTCTCTATAATGTTTATAATGTAACAACATTATAGATATAGTCTTCTCACACATATATTGTTTAAAGATTTTATTTTTTTTTAGAGGAGAAGAGAGAGAGAAAAAGAGGAAAGAAACATCATTGCAAGAGAGAAGCATCAGTTGGTTGCCTCTCATTCATGTCCCGACCAGGAATTACACCCGAAAGCCAGGCATGTACCCTGAGCAGGAATCAAACCATGGACCTTTCAATTTGCAGGACTATACCCAACCAACTGAGTCACACTGGACACTGGTCAGGGCTCACACACATTTTTAATTAGTTATTCTTACTATCCATTATTACTCATTGCTACTGTTAACTAGTTCTATTGTTTTGTTTAAATAAGTGCATTTAAGGAACAGAAAATTAAATACAGAATATATAATTTCAACAAACATCTGTTTTTCATAATTTTATGTGAAAGTAGTAACACATGTATATGTATTATATATCTTTCTTTTCCTCATACGGCTGTGTTTGAATTGACTGTTTAAAAAGTTAGTTACCTTACTTCATTGAGTGTATGTACTTACTCAACCTATTCAACCTATTCTCTGTTAGGGGACATTTAGATTGTTTTCAGGGTTTTACCATTATAAATGATACTACCACAAGTACTTATGTGCATACACCTTTTTCATAGTTTTGTTTGTGATTTTAGGGCTAAATTTTTCTCAGCAGAATTTGGGTATATATGTATATGTAATTTTGTCTAAGTATACACGCATATGTAATTTTGCTATTGCCAAAATCACCCGTATTAAGTTTGTTCCTTTTTCATATTTCCACCAGCAACGTGTGTGAGTGCTCACTTTCATAGCCTCATCAATACCGCGGTTGAAGTTTTGGAAGTTTTCCAAATTGTTCAATAATATCTCAGTGTAGTTCTAATTTTCATTCTCTTATCTAATTCTCACTCTCTTATGGGTGAGGTAGAATGTTTTTTAAAGGACAATTTGCATATTTTGTCTGGTATGTCTGCTCTCATGTCTAGCCCATTTTTATAGGTTTATAGTTTATTTTCTTTTTTACTTTTAAGAATCTCTGTATATTAACTGTTTGTGATTTAAGTTGCATTTTTAAAGCCAATGTATCATTTATCTTTTTACTTTGCTTTTTGGTTGTTTTGTTTTGTTTGCATTTGTTACCTGAATGTATTTTTTAGTCAAGTTTATCAACAAAGATGTCATTTGGAACCATGGATTCTGAGATCTCATAAGAGAATGGTATCAAGGGGGAAGTAGACTCAAAATTGAGTCTTGAGGAACCCCAACATTTAGAAATCAGGTAGAGGAAGAAGACCCAGTGAAAGACTGAGAATAAAGACTGACTCAGAAGAAAATAAAGAGTGATTCACCAAATCTAAGATATCAGCTCCCAGATATCCCTTTAATATCAATATATGCACATAACATAATTTATAACATTGTTTTCGTTATAAAAAATATTTTAAAAATTCCAATAAAATGATTTTCAGTTTCCTGCACCTATCAAGTAAATTCTTTTTTATTAAAA